AAACGAAGGTTTTACTACTTAACTCTCATGTGAGCCATACAAGCGATGATTTCATCATTATGGCAGAAAAACACAATATTATCATATACACATTCCTATCCCATCTTACTTATATTTTACAGCCACTAGATGTAGGGATCTTCCAGCTGTATAAGCACTGGCACAGAGAGGCTGTGCTTGCTGCCATACGTGATATAGATGTTACATATGACTGTTACAGCTATGGTAACGTGACGTCATGGTTACAGGGCTAGCAGGGCTAGGCTCTAGTAACGTGACCTGTGAGTCACAAGGCTAGCGCTTATAGCCACAACCACACGTGATGGATAGCAGAGGATATCATGGATATTTGTTATCCAAAATATCCTTGATATTGTAAGGATGCCTTCGCCATCAGTTACGGAAGGGATCTGAGTCGGACTAGTTATGGTCACGTGATAAGAGTTAAGGCAGGTTAGCCAAGTCGGACACGTTTCGGGTACTTAAGGGGATTGGCCCAACGGGGTTCCCCATCATCTTTTTTGTATCCTTCGTAGTAGACCTATAGGATAGCATCCGTTTAGCTCCGACTCGTGCTCCCATATGCTATTACTGTGAGCTGGGTGCCCTGTGTACTTACAGATATACTAAACCTATGAGTCACAAGGCTAGCGCTTACAGCCACAACAAGGATCTATTTCTTTATGGCCTGTGTCTATGCAGTAGAGAGTACAGTCGAGTTGCGCTAAGTCGATTCGCAATTAGTCGATTATTGCGATAACTCAGTATTTTTCTTTGGCCCAAATTAATTCCTCATACAAATCGCGATTCACTCGATATTGACCTCATTCACCAAATTATAGACTTATCGGATGAATCGATGCCTCCAATTCGACTGTACACAATGATGACTGAGCAGTGTCACGCGCTCAGAAGTTGGTTCTCTTGACAGTATCCTCGACCTACCCAGAGAGCCTGTATCGAATGGTTTCAACAGCAGTATAATCACTGTCTTTGTAATGGTGGGTGCACCAGATGTGAGAATCTAGCCACCCAAGGAAGGGATGAATTTACTAAGACAACACACTGTCTTAGGAAACAAAGCCAAAGGGTTCTAGCTTAGACTATTCCACAATGCAGCAATCAGGTGTGTGATGTAGTGAAGTGGTTCAGACAAGTTGTAACAAATGTTGAGTCTGAGAACTCAGGATAAGTCAGAGGTTAACACCTCACTGACTTTTCAGAAACAAGGAGTAACAAGATCAATTCTTGGAAGCTTGGAAAAGACGTGGAAGTATGTGATAGTCGATTTACTGTATTGTCTGCTTGACCTTTCTTAAGGAAAGGGCAATCCTATTTATGCTAAAGGAGTGTAGTTCTCTCATTTTCCAAGACTTTCCATGACTAACCAGGCTTGGTAACTGTAGTCGACGTAAGAGAACCCCATAGAACCATCTCTTAGGTTCGTAGCCTATAGGAAGTAAAAGGAGGTCCAAGGTCAGAGTACCCCTATAGACAAATTATGTCATAGACAAATTATGTCACAGACAAATTATGTCATAACTTAACCAATCTTGTGGGTAACTAAAGAGCGATGACATGTAATGAATCATAGAGGTTCGTAGGAGCTTTTAGAGCTATTGTTCATGCTCCTAGGCCTCTAGTTGGTAGAGATATGTCATGTGGTAGTATGAGTGATGTCATGTAATGAATCATAGAGGGTTGTAGAGATATGCTATGTGGTAATATCGGCCCAGTAACTAAGGAGCGATGACGTGTAATGAATCATAGATGGTTGTAGCAATCGTTGAGTAGTATTGCTCTTGTTGTTGGTGTGATAAGCCAAAATATGTATAGTGACTTGTAGGTTTGAGGAGGAGATTTCCAAGTTTGCTCTTGAGTTTGATAGCAAACTGAGTGCAACGAATGTCAGTATGACAGTCTTACCCAGTCAACGGTCTCTGATTTCTTAAGCTCTCGATTTACTAGCCTAGACAGCCCTGTTTCGAGCACCCCTCTTACTGCCAAACGACGTAAAGTGTCATACTGACATTCGTTGCAGTCAGTTTGCTATGAAACTCAAGAGCAAACTTAGAAATCTCCTCCTCAAACCTACAAGTCACTATACATATTTTGGCTTGTCACACCAACAACAAGAGCAATACTACTCAACGATTGCTACAACCCTCTATGATTTATTACACGTCATTGCTCCTTAGTTACTGGGCCGATATGACCACATAGCATATCTCTACAACCCTCTATGATTCATTACATGTCATCACTCCTTCGTTACTGGCTAATACTACACATGACATATCTCTATCAACTAGAGGCCTAGGAACATGAACGATAGCTCCAAAAGCTTCTACAACCGTCTATGATTCATTACACATCATCGCTCCTTAGTTACCCACAAGATTGGTTAAGTTATGACATAGTTTGTCTATAGGGGTACTCTGACCTTGGACCTCCTTTCACTTCCTATAGGCTAAGAACCTAGGAGATGGTTCTATGGGATTCTCTTATGTCGACTACAGTTACCAAGCCTGGTTAGTAATGGAAAGTCTTGGAAAATGAGAGAACTACACTCCTTTAGCATAAATAGGATTGCCCTTTCCTTAAGAAAGGGCAAGTAGACAATACAGTAAATTGACAATCACATACTTCCACATCTTTTCCAAGCTTCCAAGCATTGATCTTGTTACTCCTTGTTTCTGAAAAGTCAGTGAGGTGCTAACCTCTTGACTTATCCCTGAGTTCTCAGACTCAACATTTGTTACAACTTGTCTAAACCACTCCACTATATCATACACCTGATTGCTGCGTTGTGGAATAGTCTAAGCTATGACCCTTTGGCTCTTTTTCTAAGACAGTGTGTTGTCTTAGTAAATTCATCCCTTCCTTGGGTGGCTAGATTCTCACATCTGGTGCACCCACCATTACATAAAGCTCCTGCTTGGCCAGAGCTCGAGGCTGCTATTTTCGAGTGGCAAAAGCGCATTGAAGAAAAAGGAGGGATAACAACTGGGGATATACTGCAAGTGAAAGCGAAACAAATCTGGCAGTTGTTACCACAATACACAGATAAGCCTATACCTAATTTTAGTATAGGTTGGCTCGACAATTTTAAGAAACGACATCAGATGAAAAACCACGTTAGACATGGCGAAGCAGGTTCAGTTCCTACAACAGCAGAAGACGAGATGAAGGCAATTCAAACACTAGCAGGAGATTTCAAAGAGGAAGATATATATAACATGGATGAAACAGGGCTTTACTGGAGGATGACGCTGTCAAGGGGACTCTCATCACAAGGAAGGCCTGGATTGAAGAAAGAGAAGGCACGCATTACTGTTGCAGTTTGTACCAATGCTATAGGTTCAGACCGATTCCGACCTTGGTTTATTGGCAATGCAAAGGTGCCACACGCCTTACGACGAGTTAATGTTTCAACAATGGGAGGTGAGTGGAGATGGAACAAGAAGGCATGGATGAATCAATATATCATGGCGGAGTGGTTACAGGCCTTTTACCTCCATATAGGAAGTTCTAGATCTATACTCCTTACCATGGACAACTTCTCTGCACACATTGCAGCTATTAAAGATAATCCTCCTCCTCCGAACATACAGATTATTTGGCTACCTCCAAACTTGACAAGTCGATTCCAACCACTCGACCAAGGCATTATAGCTTCTCTAAAAGCTCATTACCGTCGACAATGGCTTGAATTCATGCTTACATCATTTGAGAACAACACCAACCCTCTTGATCTTATGTCTCTTCACCTTGCACTTTGCTGGCTAATTCGCGCTTGGTATCACGATGTTACGAATACAACTATCTATAACTGTTTCTGCAAAAGCACTATAGTTGTTCAACCGTTACAGCTGCCTCTTGAACCTCTCCCTACGCTAAGCAACCTATACAATCAAGTTAACAATGCTGGGCATATTCGCGACGCTATGGACCTTGCAAACTTCTTAAATCCAGCTGATGAATCAGTACAAGAGGAGGCAAGTAATAGTGATGATATATTACAAGACGTTGTTTCACAATATATTCAGGATACTCAAGATGATGAAGACGGAGAGCAACCTGAACAGCCAATATACTCTATAGAAGCTGCTCAACAGGCTCTGCAAGTTCTGATTAGGTATACTGAGTCTAAAGATGGGGTTGATACAGCATATCTACGCTCATTTGAGCGATTTGAGCAGTTGTTAAGGTCTGAGGGGGCCGCTCAGCTGTCACAGGGCACATTGGACCAGTGGATGATGTAATAGCTTGGCAAATTTGATATCTCGGTTTTCTTGATAAGTCTATATATTTTAGCTGCCTACAATGTATCGACTTAGCGCGACTCGACTGTAGCTTATTCTAGCCCCCTCGGTATGGGAGCTGCTAGGCTAGTCGGCTGATACTTAACTGTATCGTTGATTTAGGCACTTTGAAATCCAACTGGCAGTAGTTGCTGTTTCAGAGGGGTTCTCTAGGAGCCATTCACGAGCATTTGATAGAGGAGTCCCTTCCATTAAATGAATTGCATATAATTACTATCTAAATACTATGGACAACTATGGTGGAGGTTTTGTTAAGGAGTGGCGGTGAACAGACGCATGTTCCGACGAGCCGCATATTGCTTCCTCTCGGGTTGGGCAGCCGTGTGTTGCTTACTCCAACCTTTGAGCGAAGCGAAAAGTTTGGTCACGACGATTACCCACTATTCGCCTATTAACTCACCATGGAAAATCGGATCCATGAGCACCGTCGAATGGATTGTGTCTAGAGTTGTCATTGGGAAGCAGATTGACATGCGATAAACCAGCTGGTTGCATCTTGTACCACCCTGCCATGAGCTCGTATCAACGCCATATCTCAACTTCTTCAGCCCCGCCTCACTCCTTTATACCATCCTCACTACCTAGTGGTCTTACAGATAGGCTTCTGACCTTTCACAGCGCGCTGACTGGCTGTTGGCCTCACAAAGAGGCATCTAGACCATCTGAAACGCTAGATGATTACTGTATCTACAGAAAACATGTCGTAGAACCTTCAGCAAGGGATATACTATGATGTCGCGAATATGATTGGACTTAGCTTCAATTTGGTCGTTCCACGAGGTGGTACGGTGCTACGGATAAGGTCATACGTGCCTGACAAAAGGGCATGGGTTCCCCGAACATTTGCAGGTCGGATCACGTATCTCTCGTCTTCCAATATCTGTTGCTAATCTCGTATATCCAACGTTATATTTATCCGGCAACACTACTCGAATTGGGGATTCATTGAAATATGATAACGGATCAACCCCACAGTCCCATCAGCACACCACCAACGCACCTCTCAGAAAAACGCCTGCGCATTCGCATGACTCCCCACACCCCCCGGCACATTCGCCGGCGCACTACTAAAGAAGAAAGTCCACCTCCCCTTCCGCCGACACACCTCCGCCAACTTCTCCAAATCAAACAGCTCTCCCAGCGGCATCCCCCACAGCGCAAGAACATACTCATGCAGCATCCCCCCATCCGCCCTCTGACTCGGCCACGCCTCAAAACTCGGCGCATCCCCCGCTATAGCTGCAAAGTACGAATCGTGCAGCCAATCCAACATCTCATCCTCGGAGCTGACCCCGGCCCACCGCATCCCGTCCTCGGGGCCGTGGCTGTGTGGGCGAAGCGCCGCGGCGGCCCGCTCAGAGGGACCTAGCGAGTTGTAGGTTGACACGAAACCGGAGCGGATGAGCAGGATGTCGCCGATTTGGATGTCGCCGCCCTGTGCGGCGGGGCGAATGTCGATGCCTTGTGCTTTGCCGCACGCGACGAGCGAGGAGAGGGGGATGGCGTGGTATTCGTATGGGTCTGTAGGTCAGCATTGTCGTCTGTCTGGGGTATTTCGAGGTGGGCTCACCGTATTTAATCCCATTCTCCTGTGCGTATGTCCAGTAATCAAGCAGCACCCCTCTTCCACCAATTCCATGGTCAGACCAGTGGTGGATTGAGCAGCGGTGATTATTCGCCTCCGCACCATCGATATGTGCTCCCGTGGCGCCGTTATAGAACTGGCCCGTCTTGACGTAGGATATGTGTCGGAAGCCATCCCACTGCGTGCCACTCTGCGTGTTCAGCGAGTAGGTGTCATCGTAGACGAAGCCAGGGAATAGAGGCTTGATTGTATGCTGGAAGGGCTCACGGTTGAAGGCGGGAATGGCGGGAACGTTGAGAGGGAGGCTGGGGGAGAGGTTAGTAAGGGGTTGTTTGGGAGGAGGGCGGCGTACTTGAGGCTGACGATGTCGCCGTCAGTGATAAGCTTCCCGGCAGCTGCGACTCTGGCGGGGGAGAGGAGGTTGAGCCGGCCCAGCTGTATATCGTCAGACAGAGTTCTACCCCGAGCGTTCCTGGTCCTACCTGATCGTCACTGCCCCAAACCCATGCTCTGTTTCTGTCAGCGTATAATCGGGATATTTACCAAGAATTTCAAGTTGCAAGCAGGGCTGGCAGTAATATGTATCCAACTTACGCTCCATCTGGCGCATTCTCAATCTTTGGGAGGTCACTTCTGGATGGGAAGCTCGTAGCCTTCGGATCCCACGGAATACCGTTTATGGCACCGTCCTTCTTCACCGTAGCAGCTATCTGAGAGAGACTTTGCGAGGCAGATCCGGACATAATAGCGGGTAATAGTACAAATAATTTGTTGGGTTAGGTGCAATAAGTTTACACTGAGCGCGGTGTTATACAAATTTCAGTTTGTAGAAAGAGATGTCATGATAATAAGCGAGAGAGCAGCTCCTCTTACCTTTGAACAGATTTCCCACCCTCCGAGGCGGATATGTTTTATTGACGGCGCCCCAACTGTAATGATGTACGGTTACGCTCGCGCTACATTCCACTGAGCCAAAAATACTACAGTATTCCGGCTCGCCCGGAATACGCGTAACACGCTTTATATACCACATGTACTGTCACGCTGTAACGGCGGCACCCCGTTACACCAACGGCGTTCAAAGTAAAAGTGTGCTTTGACTACCCCAGTGTGGGGAAGAGGGGTTCGGTGGTCTTGGATCGCCATGCCGAGGGGGGGCAATTATATCGGTATTTAAGAAGCGACGACGTATTGCCTATCAACGATATTATATTGCTATATTATTTGGTGCAATTTTGCAGTTATGTATGATTTATAGCGTCTGTAGGGATATGTTAGCTGTTGAGGTTCGATTTACCTTTTCTTGGCGTAATATATTAGCAGATGGTTTAAACACGGTTTCAAATCGTCACCTTGACGTCAAATGGCGCGACATAAATAAGCTTCATATTTGATTAACACCAAACATCTATAGAGCTTAAACCTCGAATCTCAGATCCAAACCTTCTTCTCACCTCCAGTCTTCACGAGTCCCACTTTCGGACCATTTAGCGACGAAATCACGTTGGAAAACCCACGTCACCGCCATCTCACCTCGCCCACATCTTAAATCGCCACCTGTCACAGTGAACCTGCCATTGCATTCTCACACCACAGAAATAAACTTTCAAAACGCGACGGCCCAGCCCGGCCCAGCTAAAGACCACCATGTCAGTCCCCGCAGATGTCCGCCCAGACAGCCTCCAGGCCGACCTCCTCCGCCATGGCCTCCCCCATGACCTTATCCACCAAGTCACCGCCTATGTCAAGTCCTACATGGCCCCCTACGATCGCTCCCACGACTTTGCACACGTCCTCCGTGTCCTGGGGCTTTCGCAAATTCTGTGCGCCCAGGACCCCGCTCGCTACGACCGCGTCACCACCATCCTCGCTGCCCTCCTCCACGACGTAGGCGACAGGAAGTACCTTCTCCCCCACCAGGACAGCGCCACGATGGTACGTGATGTGCTCCTCTCTTTCGGCTCCACAGACGAGTTCGCCGATAAGGTCCAGACTATCGCATCAGCTGTGTCGTATTCCTCGGAGGTCAAGGATCCGCAGGTCGTGCGGGATGTTATTGCTAAATACCCGGAGCTGGAGGTCGTGCAGGATGCGGATCGCTTGGATGCTATTGGTGCGATCGGGATTGGGAGGGTGTTTACGTTTGGGGCCGCGAAGGGGAGGGGGATGGAGACTTCGCTGGATCATTTCGAGGATAAGCTGGTGAAGGTGGCGGGGATGATGAAGTCGGAGTTGGGGGGGAAGATGGCTAGGGAGAGGACGAAGATACTTCTGGCGTTTAGGAAGATGTGGGAGGGGGAGGTGAGCGAGGCGGAGGCGGGTTTGGAGGGTTTGAAGGAGATTATTGGGTGAGGGAGTTCGAGTCTGGGGACAGGGTGAGGTTAATGCATGACGTATGGCTAGGGGGGATGGTAGATGTATGCGGCGTGTTGATGCGGCAAAGTGTGGAATATTCGCCCCGTCTCCCGATAATAGGTAGTGAGAGGCAATTTGCATTTGGGCTAGAGCACCCATGTAGATTTCTGCACCTTCTGACACTATCTAATGAAAAAAGGAATGCTTCTCGGCGTCCTCATATTATATTCTGACAGGAAACTATCAGCGTATGCGGGAACCTAGTTATTTTGCACTAATATAATCACATTGAACAGGGGGTATGGCCCTTACGTATGCACCGCTTTCGAGGTAGGACTCAGCTACCCGGTTACAAGCAACAACAGCCCATCGTATTTATCTAGACCACATTCCTGGCATCATCGAGCTAGCCTCAACAACTTATCCTCATTGCACAAATAGATAGGCCGTGCTAATAGATAGGCGGTGCTCAAATTCTACGCTGGATCTATGCCCCTTTGTTAAAGGCTACAGCACTGCTCTTGTGAATTTCTAAACCTAATGGTATGACGAGCTAAGACCTAATTGTTGTAGAAAAGGTTGTGTCCTACGGCTAACAAACAAGCCGCGGATTGAGAATGGTATACAACTTGTGCCCTAGGGAGGTTAATGAGGGGTATAAACTCTTACCGCATCATGGGAGGAATGTGGGGTTCTCCATTTAGTACGGGATGGGGGGATGTGATTTGGATGGGTCGTTAGGTTTTGTGTTGGGCCATTGGCTAAATGGTTAATATACTCCATGCAATCCTGGAGTCTAACGAAACTGTAACTTAAGCAGTTAAAAACCGCACAATACCCCCTGCAGAAATGAGATCCACTGATGTGGCGCATTAGTGTTAGAACTACGTTCCTAGAAGTACGTACGCTACGTAAATCTCCAGCGCGTTGCGAAAGAAAACAGCAAAATAGTTTGGCATTTGGTCTGGAATTCAACATTATTGAGTTGGCACAAACAGGGTCTTGTGGAAGGGAGATCGATGGGCCGATTGAAGGGATGGATAAACAAAGCTATATTTCAACAATTAACTATTTTCAATATCTGATGTGCCGAGCGTAATATATAGATCAGAGCAATGCTCTGACTTGAAGATAATTATTTTGATCTATATTTAGTAAAATACAGGCTTGATCTTCCCATTCGCCCTGTCCATCAGGCGGATAGGCAACAACTCGTCGTACCTGGATCACCATTAGTAAACCACCCAGATCTGACATTCCTCGGATGCAAGGAAACTTACACATGCTTCACCCATGCACTCGTAATCCGCCTCGTCAGTGCTGGATCCACAATCTCCTCCGCCGCAAACGCATTCGCGCTCCTCACCGGATTCATCAGCCGGCGATACTCCTCGTCAAGCTCCTTATACCGCAGCTCCCTAGCCTCTTTCCCCTTCTCCTTCTCGATCTTCTTCAGCTCCGCCGCATGTCCGACTTCAATGCCACCTTCGAGCGGCAGGCTTCCCCACTCTCCACTGGGCCACGCAATACGCATCCTCGGGTCTCGACAATCGAGCATGAGCCCTCCGGCGACACCGTATACCCGCCGCGTTACCACGGAGAACACCGGCATAGTGGTGCTGAAATACGTCGTCCCAAGCGCAACACCATGTCGCATCGTTGCGGACCGTTCAGCCACCGTGCCGATCGCATAACCTGGCACATCCACAAACTGAACGAGCGGAATATTAAATGTATCCAAGAACTTTAGGTGCCGCGTTAGCTTCTGGCTTCCTAACGCATCGAGCGCCCCGGCGTTGACCTCGCAGTTCAGACTTATGATTCCGACGGGCCGGCCATCGAGCCTCGCAAGCCCGGTGATAGCAGTCGTGCCCCACAGGGCGCCGATCTCGAACCAGCTCCCTGCATCAACGACTGTCTCAATGATCGTGCGCGGATTATACATTCTCGTTCTCCTACGCGGGATGATAGTTCTCAAGCTCTCACAGCTCCTCTCCACCGGATCCTCGCTCTTGATCACCGGCGGTAGCGCTAGTCCATGGTTTGGAAGGTAGCTCAACACAGTACGCAGCTGCTCAAAGCACCCCTCTTCGTCCGCGGCAAGGTTGTCGATTGTCCCGTTCGTGCAGTGCATCCCCGGCCCGCCGAGGTCCGTGAATGAGAGGCCTTCTTCAAACGTCGCCCCTGCAACTACCTTTGGGCCTGCATTGAAGAGGGAGCCGATGTCCCCTGCCATGACGGAGAAGTGGCAGGAGACGACGCGTGCGGCCCCGAGCCCGATTGCGGGACCTAGAACGGCGCCGAGATTAGGGATGCCGAGCTCGAGCTGTTTTGCTACCTGCGAGAAGCTAGGTAGGGGCGGGATGTAACTGTATCCCTGTGTTCTGATCGTAGTCACGCTTCCACCACCAGACGAACCATCTACAAGCTTAACAATCGGGAGACGGAGCTCAATCGCCATCTTCTCCATATAAATCGTCTTCTCAACCAACGCGCCATCCGCATGGCCCGCACGAATTGAAAAGTCATCCGCGGTGAAGACTACCTTCCTCCCACGCAGCGCGCCAAAGCCCTGCACATTATTGCTCGGTGTGAAAGCCACCGGCTCCTCCTTGATCCCGGCGAGTTTCTTCCACTCCACAGTTCCAGCCACGGAACCTACCTCGTAGAACGTTCCTGGGTCAAAGAGCCGGTTCACCCGCTCGCGTACCCAGAGCTTCCCAGCTGCTTTCTGACGCGCGTAGCCCACATGGTTGGGATCGGGATTCGCAGAAAGATTTTGAAGAGTGGAAATCTGTGCGAGGATATCTGAGTAATCTGCTGGGAGGGCGGAGGCGGACTTTTGGCGGCGCTTTCGGGGGGTGTTGGGCGGGTTGATGTGGTTTGTGACTTGTGAGAGACGATCAGACGGACTTGACGAAATAGACTTCTCAGGTTTGGAACTCATGGTCAGTGTATGGCTAACTGCTGTTTGGGATTGAGATGTTGGTTCGGGTGGTGAGGCGGCGTTCACTACTGTGGGAGTCTCTATATCTATCCGTACAAGAATCCGATACAATGCCTGTGTAACAAAAGCAAAATAAAATAGCAAGAATCAATCACAGCGAAGCCGGCATTGTGTTAGGTAGATATAGGATATAGATTGCCGACTTGATATCCGTAGTTTGCTACCAGGAGTCCGTCCCGGCACCGAATAGATAGCCAGCGAACGTTGCGTTGTGGGTACCAGGAGGCTGAGCCTCGGCCCAACCCCGGATTGCGAGGCAGTTGGGTAATGGTGGGTGGGGTAATGAGAATAACCTCATCCGGCAACGGCGGCAGCTGCTAATCTATTGAATAACGGAGAGCATAACAAAATACATAACAGAAGGAATATATATATATATATATATAATCGAATGCGTAGTACTTATATACCGCGTATATAATTCCACATCAACATGGCAGAATCACACCCTCCCCTTCGCCCCATCAGGCGGCTTCTTATTGTTAATAGGCAAGTATGACCCAACCCTACTCCACCTACTACCAGCAATTGACTGGCTTCAGAGGCGAAATTGCAATCAGAATTCTATCTTCTGCCCGCGAACTCAACCTCGAAACGTATACCCTGTACACCGCAGATGACACCTCCCATACCCTTCACTCGACGCACGCCGTCTCGATTCCATCTCCCTCAACATACCTTGATATCACTGCCCTTATCGCCATTATCAAATCCCACAACATCGATTCCGTCCACCCTGGGTATGGCTTTCTCTCCGAGTCGGCCGAGTTTGCGCACCGAGCATGGACAGAGGCGGGTACAGTTGTCATCGGCCCGGGATGGGAAACTCTCGCCCGGACTGGAGATAAGCTTGCCGCACGTCAATTGGCGGAGGAATGCAAAGTCCCTGTGCTGCCTGCGCTACAGACGCCGACTAATAATGTCGAGGATGTAAGGCGGTTTGCAGCCCAAATAGGCTGGCCTATCATCATTAAAGCCGTTGACGGCGGAGGCGGAAGAGGCATACGCATTGTGAGAGAGGAAGGCGACTTGGCGGGGCTAATGGAAAGGGCGCTGCGAGAGAGCCCACAGGGACTTGTATTTGCTGAGAAAGCAGCTGTTGACGGTTACCGGCACGTGGAAGTGCAAATTGTAGGCGATGGAACAGGAAATGTCCGACATCTATGGGAGCGAGAGTGCTCCATCCAGCGGCGCTTCCAAAAGGTCGTCGAGTTCGCACCGAGCTCCATTAGGGACCGAGCAGTGGTTGGACGCGTCATCGAAGCCGCGATGCACATGGCAAGAAAGGTGTCCTACCTTTCCCTCGGCACCTTCGAGTTCCTCGTTCACAGCTCCAATCCCGAGCTCTACTTCCTCGAAGTCAACCCGAGATTACAAGTCGAGCACACCATCACGGAATCCCTCTGTCCCGGCCTGGATCTTGTAAAGGTTCAACTGTGTCTCGCCGCAGGACAGGAACTCGACACTCTCCTCCCGAATATCTCTCGCGATCCCCTAATCCCTCCCCCACTTCACTCCATCCAGCTCCGCATCACCGCCGAAGACGCTACCGCAAACTGGGCACTTAACACCGGAACCATCACTTCCCTTTCCCTCCCCTCCGGAAACGGTATTCGCGTCGACCATCACCTCACTCCCGGCCTCGTCGTCAAAACCGACTTCGACAGCCTCCTCGCCAAGATCGTCATCACCGCATCCACCTGGACAGACCTCGTCGCCAAAGCCATCCGCGCCCTTAATGACACCCACATCATAGGAGTCAAGACCTCTCTCCCAGCCCTCCGCGGCATCCTCGCACACCCCGCCTTCACAGCCCAGGCGTGCGATACCCAGTGGCTCGAGAGCAGCCTCCCTGCCCTCCTTGCGGCAGGTACATCCATCACCGCCTCCCTCCCTAGCCCGGCCACCCTATCCGCAACTCCCGCATTTGCGCCATCCTCTTCGAGCGCCCCTCTCCGTAAAGGCGATGCCTGGTCCCTAACTCTCACCCCCACAACAACCTCAACATCTGCCTCCACGCCACCACCAGCCCCTGCGCACCTCCTCCTCACCAAACTCCATCGCAATGATTTCCCCTCGTCGCTCACTGCCGATATCCTCTTCACACCACCCTCTGCACCACCGATGTCGTACACCCTTGCCCTGACATCCACCGCCGCTTCTGCTGGCGCCCTAACCTCCACACACCGCCGCGGCGAGGCAGGTAACGCGCGACACATTGTGTTCCCATTCCCCGGGCAGCTCGTGGAGCTTCTGGTTGACGTTGGAGATCGTGTGGGGAAAGGGGATGTGGTGGCGGTGGTTAAACAGATGAAGATGGAGCTGGAAATTCGGGCAGGGAGGGAGGGGGTGGTGGGATGGGTATTTGAGGGGGAAGACGGTGATGAGGTTGGAGAGGGGGTATTGGCTGTGGAGTTGGTTGAGGAGGAGGAGAGGGCAAAGTTGTGAGGTTGGAAGAAGTAGATGGTGATGCAGAATGGGGTTTCATAGCTGTTTGCGACATTTAGAACTGAATGGGGTTTCATAGCTGTTTGCGACATTTAGAACTGAGGATAAATAGCATGATAGATTTACACATAGATAAAATCACACAGAACCAAAGATATCTTTCAATCGTATGCTGTGTGCCATGTTAAGGCTGATCATTGATGAATTTCATGACTTCTCGTATAGGGATCCATACCCAAACTAACTTAAAACGTGACCATCGGCGCCAAGAGGGGACGACAAGGAGAGGAAAGAGAGTGTAGAGGGGCCCTTCGATCCTGGTGATTGATCTACACCAAATGATTCATCATATTCTGTGCTTTGATCACCTCGCCTACTTGAGTTAGTATATGTAACTTGTCCGCGGATGGGTTCAATTACCTCTCTCGGCATAGTCCACCAAAATGAAGTTAGGAGTGGCGCCATGCGCCTCTTGGCAGAGCCCTACCTGCGCCATGATCGATGCCACGCTATTAGTCTTCTCTGCCTCCAGGATATCTGGAACTAAGACGCCATCCTTGCCGGGGGTGAGAGCAAAGTCGAGGACGTGGTTGATGATCGAAAAGCGACCAGCTGATGATGCATTAGGCGGCCTATCGACAGAGCATCTATAACTGTCAGTACAGAATGTCAATACAGGTACATGGTATAGTCTTACTGTGGAAATTTTGGATCTGTTTGGGAGAAGGGCGTCTCAAAGCAGTATGCGAACTCGTCGAGGATATACGGGACCTTGGCGGTATCTGCGTGGTAATCTAACAAGCATTAGAAAGTGGTCGTCTGGAGGGCAAAACTTGAGCTCACCAAGGAACATAACGAGCCTCTTATTGGAATTAATCATCTCCTGCAGCGTCGGCCACTCGTTCGAGGCGAGTTTTTTCGGCGGCGTATATGCCAACTTTGCGAGCCCGCTGTTGATCATTGCCTTGCCAAAGATGGATACATCCGCATTATCCTGGTTGGTGAGGAGAAGGGTGACAACTTCATTTGGATGAGCCACCATCCACTTATTGATGCGCTCCAGATACTTCACGAGTGGGCCAGTGTTGAGGAGAAAGCACGACGTATGACACATGTACATTTCACCCAGTCCGAAGAGATTATGTGTCTGTCGAGTGTGAGGCCCCGAGGTAAATATTCTGAAAGGGGCTGTATGTTACCTGAGCTTGTAGGAAGCGGATCCCCATATCCAATTGCCCCTCGACCTCGAGCCCTTGATTCTGGGTAGGCAGCTCCCCTACGAAGGCGCTGCTCAGGGTTCAGTTTCAGCATTTCTCGTATTCTGTGGGGGCCCTTACCTGTTATGGGCGCCTATCTGAGTGACATTTGAGTATTTGCGGCCGCAGAGTCGGGCATCGCCATTGCATCCAAGAGCAGAAGAAGCAAGCGATGCGAGCAAAAGTAGAGATTGAATGTTAATCCGCATAATGATAAGAGTGTGCGACTGATTAGTCTGTAGTCAATGCAAGTGAGAGGGATCTAAAGGTGGCGGCTATTGCCAGAGGTATGAGATGCGTAGGTCAACTGTAGGCAGTATAGAGAATGGATTAAAGGAAAGGAATGATAATATGATAAAGGATACTGTGGCAGGTGGATATACTTATGTAGTTCATGAGATCTAGAATATTGACGCCGATGAGCCTCCAGTGAGCCACTAGAAGGAGCCACATCCTAGAATATTTAGGAAAGAACGACCGGGCAGCTGCCTCCTCATCCTGCACCTCATTGCACCTGCCAGTATAGGCCGGCCACTATAAGGTGGGCCCGCCAAATATGACCTTGCAGGGGGGGTGGTGACGGCGAAGCCAACAACATCGTAACAAGACAAAAACAAAGCACAGAAGGTAGAAAGGGAGGCAGAATGTGGTGGCACAGGTTGAGTGATATATACGCAGATGACCGCCTGGCTAGGCTTCACCTAGGCGCTTGATGAACCTTGGTCATAATATAAAGTTAAATGAGAGCATGGGATGAAGATCTTAAGATCTTGGGGATCTGTATACTCTCATGTGCCGGCATGTCTTGAGATTAAGAAATCGAAATGTCCATATTGGGCTTATGATTGGTGGTGGTGATAGTTTCATGATCCTTCGGACGGACCAATCATCTGCCTAGCCTGGATGTGGCTGTATCCACAGATCTAGCACGTGAACGAGTTCCAGTATACGTGTACGGACACCGGCGTCCGAATACTAAGCGAACGACATCGCGGACACCCCTGGATTTGTAAGCGGTTACCTAAGCAAACCCCAGCAAAGTAATTCATAGTAGAGTAGAATAGCTAGTTATCAGTGTTGCCCGAGTACAGTAAAGCACCGTTATAACGATGTATTTGCTGCCAGCAGAATATATCGTTATAATGATAATATCGCTATATTGATTCTTATGTAATCCAACTATCTAATGTACTCTGCACCCGTGACTCTTGATCTAATTGTAATGGTGGGTGCACCAGATATGAGAATCTAGCCACCCAAGGAAGGGATGAATTTACTAAGACAACACACTGTCTTAGGAAACAGAGCCAAAGGGTTGTAGCTTAGACTATTCCACAACGCAGCAATCAGGTGTATGATGTGGTGAAGTGGTTTAGACAAGTTGCAACAAATGTTGAGTCTGAGAACTCAGGGGTAAGTCAGAGGTTAGCACCTCACTGACTTTTCAAAAAACAGAGAATAACAAGATCAATGCTTGGAAGCTTGGAAAAGACGTAGAAGTATGTGCTAGTCGATTTACTGTATTGCCTGCTTGCCCTTTCTTAAGGAAAGGGCAATCCTATTTATGCCAAAGGAGTGTAGTTCTCTCATTTTCCATGACTTTCCATGACTAACCAGGCTTGGTAAATGTATTAGAAATCAAGTGCGACCCACAACTAGCTTGCTAATCATGTAGTGAACGTAAGAGAATCCCATAGAACCATCTCTTGGGTTCCTAGCCTATAGGAAGTGAAAAGGAGGTCCAAGGTCAGAGTACCTATAGACAAATTATGTCATAACTTAACCAATCTTGTGGGTAACTAAGGAGCGATGACGTGTAATGAATCATAGAGGGTTGTAGAAGCTTCTAGAGCTATCGTTCATGTTCCTAGGCCTCTAGTTGGTAGAGATATGCCATGTGGTAGTATTGGCCCACCCCCTTAAGGAGGAGATTTTCTTAATAACTTGTTCAATGAGTGTCCAAATGATATGCCGTGATGTATGTAGCATAAACAGATGTAGTAGAAGAGTTTGCAGCAATCGTTGAGTAGTATTGCTTCTGTTGTTGGTGTGATAAGCCAAGATATGTATGGTGACTTGTAGGTTTGAGGAGGAGATTTCTAAGTTTGCTCTTGAGTTTGATAGCAAACTGAGTGCAACGAATGTCAGTATGACAGATATTCAGGAAGGGAGCTGCGATATCGTGATAATCGGTAATTGTATGGTGGTGTTGTCGGGACCAGGAAAAATATCGCAATAATGAAGTTATCGCTTTATCGAGAATCGTTATAACGATGCTTTACTGTACTACTCAGAGTACTACTCAGAGATCTTTGAGTAGAGTACTGTTTTTTGGGCTCGAGTAGAGTAGTACTCGAGTATAAAAATGAAAACATGATTGATAGCTATATAGACTATGGAAATACAGTAACTATGCATCCTCATCTTCCTCTGAATCCTCACCTGCTGATACCACGCCCCCAATTCCTAAGACATATAAGATATCGTAGTGTAGATGGTGCTAATCTGTTCGTTTCTTTATAATAATATCACTACCAACACTAAACACTCGCTCAGATTCCGCTGATATACCAGGAATTGCTAAATGATCTTTGGCAATTGCGGCAAGTATTGGATATTGGTATTGCTTACTTGCCCAAAACTTGAGTATATCAATTTTAGGCCCAAGAGTTGGCTCGTTCATCCAGCGCTTCCATTCTGGATCTAAATCTAGCTGCCATTGTGAGACATATAGCTCATCCTCAGAATCAGACTCTGTCTTCTTAGAATTCTCATCTTCTAATTCCTCATCTTGGATACTTTCCATAACCTTTGCTGCTTGGATGTCTAATGCCTTGCCTGAATATTTATAATAACAGTCTTGCCATTGTGCTTTTGCCTGCCTTTTTCGTATACCTTGAATGCTTTTTGGCCAAATAATATCAAATACGTTAAAGTTATAACGTCGCATATTGTAGCTATAGTTGAATGACTCTGCTGTTGATTTGTTGCAAGTGTATAATACTCATTAAGCTTTTTTAATGCTGCTAAACAAGCATCGTATATTGTGCTATTCTCTGTATATCCAGCTTTAAAGACTTCAAGCTTTTGTGTCATTCTCATATACTGTATAACAGCATAATTTAAAGTAGGATAAGAAGAGCCTTGTAGCTTCTCTGTTGGGCGTATAAAGATATAGAAAAAATCTAATAACGCCTTCATTGTTTGCCAATCTTTTTCTGTTAAAGCTATATATTTTATACTTAAATCAAGCTGTTGAGATGCACAGAGAGCTGTTATTGGACCTTGTAATCGTAACGCTAAATGAAGCATATAATATGTTGAGCTCCATCGTACTGGCATATCGAGGCTAAGCTGCTTAAACTCAATATTTGCAGCTTCACATTGCTTTTTTAAGGCATCCTTCCATTGTCGTCGGTTGCGAAACACATATATATGATGCTGAAGTTTGCTAAGAACAGCTACTGACTCATTTTCTGGTAGTGATGGAACTCGGGCAGCTCCATACTCAAGGCGGTATGCGTTTGGCTCATCTGCTGGTACTGCCTTTAATGATGTTAGGTGTAATGGTGGGTGCACCAGATGTGAGAATCTAGCCACCCAAGGAAGGGATGATTCTACTAAGACAACACACTGTCTTAGGAAACAGAGCCAAAGGGTTGTAGCTTAGACTATTCCACAACGCAGCAATCAATGTCATACTGACATTCGTTGCACTCAGTTTGCTATCAAACTCAAGAGCAAACTTAGAAATCTCCTCCTCAAACCTACAAGTCACTATATATATTTTGGCTTGTCACACCAACAACAAGAGCAATACTACTCAACGATTGCTACAACCCTCTATGATTTATTACACGTCATTGCTCCTTAGTTACTGGGCCGATATGACCACATAGCATATCTCTACAACCCTCTATGATTCATTACATGTCATCACTCCTTCGTTACTGGCTAATACTACACATGACATATCTCTATCAACTAGAGGCCTAGGAACATGAACGATAGCTCCAAAAGCTTCTACAACCGTCTATGATTCATTACACATCATCGCTCCTTAGTTACCCACAAGATTGGTTAAGTTATGACATAGTTTGTCTATAGGGGTACTCTGACCTTGGACCTCCTTTCACTTCCTATAGGCTAGGAACCTAGGAGATGGTTCTATGGGATTCTCTTATGTCGACTACAGTTACCAAGCCTGGTTAGTAATGGAAAGTCTTGGAAAATGAGAGAACTACACTCCTTTAGCATAAATAGGATTGCCCTTTCCTTAAGAAAGGGCAAGGAGACAATACAGTAAATTGACTATCACATACTTCTACGTCTTTTCCAAGCTTCCAAGCATTGATCTTGTTACTCCTTGTTTCTGAAAAGTCAGTGAGGTGCTAACCTCTGACTTATCCCTGAGTTCTCAGACTCAACATTTGTTACAACTTGTCTAAACCACTCCACTATATCACACACCTGATTGCTGCATTGTGGAATAGTTTAAGCTATGACCCTTTGGCTCTTTTACCTAAGACAGTGTGTTGTCTTAGTAAAATCATGCCTTCCTTGGGTGGCTAGATTCTCACATCTGGTGCACCCACCATTACAATCAAGTGTATGATGCAGTGGAGTGGTTTAGACAAGTTGTACAAATGTTGAGTCTGAGAACTCAGGGATAAGTCAGATGTCATGATCGACTCAGTGTACAACCACGTTATAGTCATTAAGATATTAAAACTTAGGTCTAAAGTGGGGGCCAAAACTTAGTATCTTAATGACTATAAGCCTAATTGCTTTAAAATTCAAATAAGGCACTTTAAATGACTATAACGTGCGTGCATAACGAATGATACAACATAACGAATGATACACTACCTTGAATCCACACAACTCCTCTAGTAAACAGTAAATCCCTTCACAACAAAAGATGCCGCAGAAAAACGATGAACGCCAAGTTATATTAGCTCTTCAGGCGATGCAAAATGACCCTAAGCTAAGTGCTCGAGCTGCTGGAAAGCTCTATTTTGTCGATCATCAGAAGCTTAGTCGTCGTAAGCATGGTATGCATTCACGACGCGATATTTCTGCCAATTTGCGGAAAATGACTGACTTAGAGGAATCAATCCTTGTCCAGTATATTCTCGACCTAGCTGCTAAAGAATTTCCTCCCCGATTGTCTGTTGTGGGAGATATTGCAAATCGACTTCTCGCGACACGCGACACGTTACCTGTCAAGACGCGCTGGGCTTCCAACTTTGTTAAACGTCGCATAGAACTCAAAACAAGGTTCCAGCGCAAATACGACTATCAGAGGGCTAAATGCGAAGACCCAGTAATTATTCATAGCTGGTTTGAGCTTGTGCGAAACACAATTGTGAAGTACGGCATCCACGATGCGGATATTTACAACTTCGATGAGACAGGGTTTATGATGGGCATTATTTCAACTGCAACAGTGGTAACAAGCTCTGATGGACGTACGAAGGCAAAGAAAGTACAGCCTGGCAATCGTGAATGGGCTACAGTAATACAGGGTGTTAATTCCCAAGGCTGGGCGATTCCACCATTTATTATTGTTGCAGGCAAAAACCACCTCACGTCTTGGTATGAAAACAGCGGATTTCCACCAAACTGGGTAATTGCTGTTACAGATAATGGTTGGACAACAAATGAGAAAGGCATGGATTGGATCCGACATTTCGAGAAGCATACAAAACCTCGAACTGTAGGTGGTTATCGTTTGTTGATCGTTGATGGTCATGAAAGCCATCACTCAGACAAATTTGAGGAATACTGCAAGGAAAACAATATTATCACTCTATGTATGCCGGCTCATTCTTCTCATATCCTCCAACCACTCGATGTTGGGTGTTTTGGCCCACTGAAAATGGCTTATGGGCAGCAAATCGAAAACATGATGCAGGCTCACATCACGCATATTACGAAGGATGACTTCTTTCCCGCATTTCACGCTGCTTTCTTTATTGCAATGACTGAAAACAACATCCGAGGAGGCTTCCGAGGCACTGGGCTTTTCCCATTTGATCCTGATAGTGTGGTTTCTATGCTTGATCTCAGATTTAGAACCCCGACACCACAAAACTCCCGCCCTAGCACCGCTCAACCTTGGGTTTCCCAGACACCAAATAACCAAAATGAAGCCTTATCACAGACAGCTTTCATTAAAAATCGAATTGCACATCATCAAAATAGCTCACCAACCTCTATTTACAATGCTGTTGACCAATTTTCAAAGGGAGCATCACAAATGATGTATCAATTAGCATTGTTAAAAGCAGAGAACGAAATTCTTCAGCAAGGGATGGAACAACTTAGCAAACGCAGAAGGGCTAAAAAAACACGCCTACAGCAAGGAGGATCACTTACACAACACGAAGCACAAGAGTTACAAGATGAGAGGGGCCTTGCGCAACAAGTAAAGCAAGAAACACAGGCAGGGAGTGGTCGGAAGCCAAGGAAAGAAACACGCGCAAGGCGCTGTGGCAACTGTGGTGGCACAAAACACAATGCACGCACCTGTCAGATGGTAATAGAGGTATCTGAGGATGAGTATTCTACATAGCTTTAATTGATTTATAGCGTTGTAGTGGAATTATCATAGTATTTGTTAAGTGAGCACATTGGACTGCATCATTCGTTATGTTGTATCATTCGTTATGCACGCACGTTAAGCCTAATTGCTTTAAATTTCAAATAAGACACTTTAAATGCTTATAAAAGGCTAAATATACATTTTTATAGTTTACTACTAAATAGTTGTTGAGATGTATTTAGTTACAAAATTCATCGTTTTGGGTGTAAAATGGGGTGGGCAACTCGTTCGTGTGGGCAACTTGTACGTGAAATACGTTATTTGAATGAACTACTATTACAGTCCTTAACACCGTCCTTTGAAACGCTTAATAAATGGAACTATTATACAACATTGTCGATTTTATGCAAATCACACCTCAATGACACGCCTTGCCATACTTCCGCAGTCTGTGGTAATTATACGGCAATGGTGTCAAGAACCCGGCTGCTATCGATACAATAGCAGCGCCCCAGAACTGCGGCGAGTCAAGCTGGATGACCCCTCCGGTTAAATGGTAATCAACAAGGTTCTCGGCCAGTTCCATCGATACCATTGATAGCAGACTCATTCCTGCAGCCGTCTTGGCCGCCAACCTCCAGCCAAGTTGATCACGGCCGAGGCGGAGAAGAACAGTCTCCAGAAGTAGAGAAGTCGTGACACCGCTCGCCACTAAATCTCGTTAGCTGAGAAAATGCAAATCGATGACCAGGCTCTTACTGGAAATTGCCATGATTGCCCCAGTCCCAAGATCCGGATGGAAAGCTTGGAGATACCACATGGATGAGAAGTCGCCGAGAGTACAGCCAACTAGACATCGTAGTGTGTTTACACCAGCTCGATTCCAGACTGTCCTCGACGCCCAGAACTGCAATGAAAATACCGAAGGAGGCAGCTTCTTTCCGTCATTTTTGCTGCATGGAGTCTTTGGGGAACTTTGGGTGCATTTTGGCCGAAGCTGAAATGCGGTTGCACGGGTTATCTTTCTCAAGGAACTCGAGTAGATACGGCCCGGAGGGGGCAAACGAGTCGAGAATCTGAACATAATTGATTGTATGACTGACACTGTTGATAATACGAGTGCAATGTATGAATTTGAGAGCGAAACTCTGTGAGATGTTTATAACGATCAGAAAATGATAATAATGACGACGGGTCTGGTCGCCTTTTAATATCGGTGGGACAGGCTCCACTTTGGACCGTTCACCACCGCACAAATCACTCACACCTCACAGGCTACGAATCCGACTAATGATTAATGATGCGCATCAGACCTTGAAAATTTAAGAATCAGCGTAAAAGTCTCACTGGGTTATTGTAAATATTTTCAAGAAGTCTAAATGTCCCTTGTTGGGGAAAGTTCCAAGAGTACGGTGAACCACAGCCAATTTGTGTGGTAAGTTCGGTCCGATAAATCTTCCTTTGGCAACTTCTGGTGCGGCGAGGGCTTCGTGAGACTCCAAGCCATCCCCGAAATATCCCACTTTAAACGCGTATTATAACAAATTCCCACGACATAAGAGGAGAATGCCGCCACCAGCTACTGCTTCTGACCTCATCTTCTCGGAACAAGCGAACCATAACTTCTCCAAGACCCTGGGGGATATTAAACGCCATACTCTCTCCATCCACAACCGCCTCCAGTCGATCCTCGTTGATGCCTCTTTCGTTCAAAGTGTGTCAGAGGCCTACTGCCGCCCTCTAGTCGCCAATGAACGCTGTGGAAGCTGGTATATTAACCCAGAGGCTAAATCAGGGAGCGCATACTTCAAAAGCACCGATGGACATACAGGTGTTTGGAAATTTAGCACCCGGAGGTTGAACACACATCTCCTGGAGTTGATTGGAAGGGGTGATGGGTAGGCGCATAGGGAATACTTGGGTTTGGATACGATACTAAATCTTTGTAGATGCATCATTGTAGATTCTACTCGACGAGGAAAGAGTTCGTCAGTTCCTTCCATTCATTCAAGGGCGAGCTAACATTACGACAGGAATGCCAGATGCCCTGAGCAAGACAATTCCAATTTGGTGTAGCGTCATTAACCGCACCCTCTTCTCAGACAAGCCCGAATACCACAACCTCTACACGCTGCCACAGGCTGTCTCGAGCTCTGAGCATGCCCAGATAGCGGCACGATTAGATGGCTTTGCAGAGTCCTTCGCTGGCCTGGGCATCGACATGAAACCGCTCAGAGAGCACATATCTAAACCGATAAGACCGTTATGGGTAACACCAGAGTCGGCGCTCCCTGTTGAGGAACAAGTGTTCAGCGATTATCACCCCGTCATATGCTGCACCGCATCTCGGCGAGTTGCCGGTGGTGAAGTTAGTGAGGGGGGATACATTCAAGGCTCTGGGGATGATACTGAGAACTGGGCCTATGGATTGACTCCTACCGTGTTTTGGTCAAACAGTGAACTCCTACTTTCCACGCCGGAATCTGAGCTCACGAGCTTGATCACTGAGTTGGTATCAAGATTTTCCAACGCCAATACTGGCAAGCCTAGCCCTACCCTTCTGCCACCGACTTCATATCTTTATGTCACATCATTGACATCTCTCGCAGCGCAACCCGCTAGCAGTAGCGACATTATTATCACAATTTGCCCCGAAATTACAACCCCTGCAAGCTGGCAGAAAGATAAACATAGGCTGGAGATTGGAATTGGCTCTGGCAAAATTGGAAGCCGCAATCTACGATCTGCTTTGCATCATATGGTTGACTTCGTCAAGAGGTCACTCTCAACGGCCCCTGCTGAAACCAATTCTCCCAGGATTGTGGTGGCATGCCCCGATGGCAAAGATCTCTCCATTGGAGTGGCACTTGCTATACTTTGCATCCTGTATGATGACAGCGGTGGTTTGCTTGAACTGGGGCAGGAAGGTACAGAAATAGACAAAGCCTATATTCGGCGGCGCCTAGGGTGGATCATGACAGCTATGCCAGGTTCAAACCCAAGTCGCTCGACGCTCCAAAGTGTCAATAGCTATTTAATGACAAGACCAAGTTAAACTAGAAAGGCAGATAAACATTGTAAATATTTACATCTAGCTAGACTAGACTTCGATTATTATGTGCTTTAGTAGTATTATGTTACTTCCTAATATTAGGCAGAATCGTAGATCGGCCTATTTCAGCTTCATAGCCCGACAGCATGGCTATGCTGCTCAGCCTAGAAATCTGCCTAATAAAGGCAGTCCTTTTACAAGGCAGTTAATCCCTGCAAGAGGATCAAAATGACGTTTCGACAGTGACCACCACTCTTTCTAATCATTCGGCGATAAGTTAACAATAAACATAAATACTACGGAAGCCCCCGACTTGCAACCATCATCATCATCCACCCTGCACTTCTTCTGCGGAAACGGTTCTCACGATGGCCTCACAACCGCACCAAGAGCCGCCTTCGTACACCGAAGAGCCAGCGCCAGCCTCTACACAGATACCAATCGAGCCACCGACATACGACGATGTCGCTGAATCGCAACCACGCGACCAGCTAATGACAGAGGAGCTGCCATGCCTCATCATGGACGATTGCTTCATCTATGCGGAATCACAACCAACAAATTCACTCCACGAGTTGAGCAACCCTCCTACAACCGACAAGTCCGCAGCATTCGCTGTCGAGAAATTCATCTACCGTCTGACCACCAACGACGGCGAGGGTGCACTTCGCCAACGCAAGTGACATCTGTACGATTTCCGCGCCGGTCTCTCCGAGTTCGGTGATGTTGTCTCTCGCTTTAGAGTCCCAGTGGGCATACAGACGTTATATCACCTCCGTAGACGGTCTTTGCAGGAAAGACGCGCCAGCCGACAGCGCTTTTGGACTGATCGTGGTCTCGTCAGGAGATGGACAAATGCGTTCAATCAGACGACCAATGTGACAGTGATTTGTGAACAAGTGAACAGTGAACACCGCTTCCTTGACGACTATGCCAGCTGTTGTCACCGTACGTACTGGTGTTAGCTTGCGCTTTAAAAAGTGGCAATCTACTTCTGGTGCCTGTTACACTGTAATCCCACCGCTGCTCGAGCTTTCGCCTCATCTCGTCGCTGCATACTCAAAACTCGCAGTAGTCTACAACCGTATTTATCCACATGAACTCCCGCAACCTGAGCTACTCCTCCATATCTGGTATCCGTATTCGGCCCCACGGCACGCGGCTATACCCTTCTTTATCAAGGCTCTGTTATTTCATTGTCTCTCTGGTCGAATACCGCACTCGTTGCCACAAAAAATAACAAAGGATGATCGAGGCGCCTTATTGTGTTACCTTCAGTTTTCTCGACAGAATGCCCTTCTTATTCTATTTTGTTGTCTTGCCTTCTCTGAAAGAGGTGTTTCAATTTTCGCAACCAACCTCACAGCAACTCGGTTTAAATACGCATGGCGATTGACGATGATCCACTCACTGCCGGTTTTGGCAGCCAGCTCCATAAGAAACGCAAAACCACCAACCCCCCAGAACCAACCGGCGCGTGGCCTGGGGGAAAGAAGCGCAAAAAGAAAGCCAGGTCAACACGACCCAGATTCGCACCGAAAAGAAAATACAAGAAGTCCGCATTGGCTAAAGTATTTGGCGCTGCGCCCGTCTTGAATAATGGAGAAAGCGGGTGGACGCCGATAAACCTCCAGCATCGGCCTCCCTGGCGCCAATTCAGAACGGAGGAGGCAAAGAGAAATGAGCAGCGACGCAGGCTCTTTGGTTTCGATTCGAACCAGCTTCAAGCTATCGACGCGGTCCCAGCTCTTATCAACGAAGAGACGCCATTGCTGAAACTAGACAACCCAATCCATCCAATCCTTGCGCTTCGACATTGGAGGACTCGTGAATTAATGCCAGCAAATCGTGCGTTTTGGAGAATTGGCAATGGGAGGCCTGGGTACTGGGAGGTAATGTGCTGATGATATATACCGAGTTTCACAGAATTAATGCTTTGAATTACAGGCACAGAACCCGTTGGTTTGGGAAATATTGGAACCCATCCTCAAGTTGGCATCACAGTTTCTCACAAATTCTCACATTAGCCACTGGTATGGCAGCCATTGTTTTCGTAATCGTTATATTGAGTCTAACTGATGTAGGTGGGATTCACTACTACATGGAGAGCGCAGGGTCTTCAAGTCGCCATTTATGAACGGCCTGAGAACCATTCACAGGCGCCCTGCAGAGGTGTTCTACGCGAATCGAGCGAAAGTACGCCGTGAACTGGCTGAAGCAAGTGGTCTCATCAGCTTTGGAATAGAAAGTGGGGTTGTAAATACAGTCACTGGCCTGGGCCCTTCGCGGCATGATCCTACAGACAATGATCAATACTATCACGCCTTTACTGTGAAGCATGATATACTCGGCGTTGATCCGGTTGAGATTTCGCTGGCCCATCACTTATTTAAACCTTTTCTTCGAGCGAATTTGACAGTATGTTTGTTTCTATTACCTGTTTGTTACTCATTGCTGACTATTAATAGCAAGCCGAGAGATTAGGGTTGCAGTTTTTTATAGCGAGTACTATCGTTCATGAAATAGGGGTGCGTCTTTGGTAGATTACTGCCACCTACTCTCTCAAGGCAAAGCTAACACAAGGAAGCATGCTATAGGTGATCTATACCGGAGGCAGAACAGTGACATTGAGGGAAAATACCCCTGGGAAGAACTCTTCTTTGAGGATGAAGCTCTGGCAGAGTACGGCTATTCAGTAACCATGGCGGTAAGCTCCAATCATAACTCCCTTAAAACCACAACAGCCAATTTATAATCTAGAACATGAACTATATCATAGACAGGGTTCCCATGGAACCATCCCCTCTCAGTTACTTTGCACACAAGTGGCCCCGGCGCGATGGCGATGACATAAACCGCACGACCATCAAATACCCTCGCCCACTAGAGAGCTACGAAGAGTTAAAGACATACTATCCCATCCAATATCACTACTTTCACGACCTTGCACGGAAAGATTTTTGGTCCAGCTTTGTCCGAGTCTACGGCGAGACCGGACAAGCTTTGCACCTCGGTCAGCTTGCCTCCGGTTCCCAATTATCCACTGACGGAATCTCGCAGAGGTGGAGGTGGCTGTCCCCGCCCTCCTATGCACCAGCTCTGCCTCTCAACGGAAGTTCTCAGGACAGCATAATTGCTCATGCCATCCAGACGAGGCGAATACAGAACCAAAGCCTTGCGATCACGGCGTTAACAACAATTCGCGGAGCCTTGTCTGACTGGCGCGCTAAATTTCTCAGTAAGAAGGAAAAGCATGAATGGTACGAAACACAACGCGAAAGGGAGGAAATGGGCGTTGAAGGACTTCCCCCAGAACCAGGTATGCTCCCCACATATCCCCACCTACACGAGAGCTGACACTCCAGACTCCCCCCTCTCTGTCCTCACGGCCTTGTCCTCCGATGTTTCCGACCCTGAGGACCAATCTGGCAACGAATCGGACTTTTCACACGAACCGTCCACCTCCAATGCAGCGCCAGAGCGGTATGAGTATATTCACAGATCGCTTTGCAACCTACGTCTCGTTTTAGCGCTAGACAGTATGCACAACCGGGTGCCCATAAACCTACTTCTAGAATACCTAAACCGTGAGCTAATACGGCTGCGGCGCAACGTCGTCGGTCCGGAAGAATTTGAACAATATCTCCGCCACATCGCAATCGAGAAGAAGATATGCTTCAAGTATTCTCCACCACCCCCTGATCCTTGCCCGCTTTCGTTTCCTTTGTTGGCTTCGCTTCCGCATACATTCGCTATGAGACCTTGCTAACCCCTTAACCTCACAGTTTATTCATTCACCACTTGGGGGCAATTGATATTACCATCCTCTCCACCGGCTGGCCCAGCGACCAAGAACTCCTTCCGCACCCCCGACCCCCGCTTCCCCCACTCTATCGTGACCCCGCCTACTTCGCAACTGATATCTCCGACTTCCGCCTCCTCAGTCTTGATCAAGAGATGTGGAGGATGCGAGATGCGCCTCCACACGCACCCCGCTTCATGTTCGTCGATATCGATTCCGAAGATATACGAACGTACTTTAACAGCTTGGGGGATGAACAAATGGAAGTCGATGCGGACGTGTTTGCACATATTGTTGCTGCGTGTCCGGATCTGTGGGTGTGAGTTCCCTCCTTTGCTTCTCGTTACTATTTTTTTTTTCACACTTTGAGCTTTTGTGGCCCCTGGGAGATGTGGATAAGAAGCTAATAACAGGGCAGGGCCGGGCCGCCTGGGATATTAAGGTTTGTCGGACCCGAACAATGGGAAGGGGCAAAATTGGGGAAGTTTTGGGAGCCTCCCAAACCAAAGGATACAGAGATGGTAGATGTTAACCTTCCGGGTGCGATATTCGGGGGGGCGGGGGTGGAGACGGAGATGTAAGATGTGAAGGGGACAAGTAGTTTAGTCGGTTTGCTTCTGTTTCTGCTAATTATATATTAAAGGCCTTAAAACGGTTTCTTCGTTTCTGGTTAAGAGAAGCTTTCCGTGTTTATGAAACAGTCACCGTGTCGTCCATGCGCATCCACGAATGGCCGCAGTCGACTGTAGGAATTACACCATTTTATTCAACTCCTAAACGTTAGGCTTCCAGAAAGTCCGTAATATAATAACTATAGTCTGTAGTAATTAACTTCTTTTTTACCCCGTCTGTAATCGTTTTAGACTCTCACAATAGATGTTGCTAACTATGGGTTCTACGATCTATTCTAACTCTTTGATTGGCTGCGAAGCCCGGTCGCCAGGGAGTCTCTCTCTCGGGCCACCATAGTGTGGTAAACACCAACAAAATAAGGCGGACCCATAGAGCTTTTCAGTCAGTGGAGCATCGTTAGCTAAGCATCTCTAGTGCAGCGTCTCTGATGCAGAATCTCTAATGCAGCATCTTAATCGAAGTCTCCCACCGTTAGGATTAGGAATAACCCTTCAAACGTTAGGGGGAAAGATCAGCTATAGCGACGCGGCGGACCATACTGGCAGAAGAGAGAAGACTTCGTAGCCTACTTGCTTCAGCATACGCAGGAAATAGAAGCCATTGTATCTTGCTATCTCCGTCTTAAAGGCACTGAGAGATGCCACCTATCGCCTTTCGATGAGTGGGTCCATGGCAGCTTCAACATGTACCTACCAGTCTATATCGACAATTGGAGGAAACAGCCTGGTGGAAGAGTCATGATCCGATTCCCGCTCCCCTATAAGGTTGGCGAGTTGAATTATCCAGGCAATGCAAATGAAAAGGTCCGTTGCGAGTCAGCTGCTTATGTCTGGATCCTCGAGAACTGCCCAGACCTTCCCATCCCTCACTTATGGGATTTTGCATTTGCAGCTGATGCACAGGACACGAAGGGCTCTATCGTAAGTAATCTGCTAAAAAATATTATAATCAACCCTATATGGCATAGTTCGTCGCATTAGACGACGCGCCCGTACTCACACGGCTTTTTGCCAGTTCTATTCCCTGTTAGGCGGTACCAATCCCTGCAGGTATATATCATCAGGGCGCCTCTACAGTCTTGAGATAGGACACCTAGTTATTGATTACGTTGAAGAGACTGACGGAAGACTGAAGTCCATAGTTATAATTGAATGGTAATGTGCTGCCTTTGTACATATATTTCTCTACTATTTCACAATGGATTCTTCAACAATATCAAAACGGAACAGGAGCTACAAGACAGATGGTATTTGCTGCTATTTGTCACCTATGGAACCCATCACCACCTCCTTCTAAAAGTTAGATGACAAAATTCCTTAAGCATGAGCTTGTTTAGTTTCATACTATAACTACGAAGCCAATTTCAAAGTAACGGACAACTGCACATGCCAAATCAGTTGTCATTAATTGGTTTTAACGATATAAAGGATTCTTGCAAGAGCATAAGATAAAGTTGAAACAATTGAGTTAAGCCAAGTCCGTAATAAGTCTAGGTCTGGTCGGGAAATTCGGGAGTCATGGCGTAATATAGATAGTAATCATTATAGTAATTGCCATCTACTACAAATTACACATAGAAAATAAGTCATTATAAGTAATATTTACACGTGATTGTTAACCAATTATAGGCACGTGATGACAGTCTTGGCAGACCGACGGGGGACCGCGGTCCCCCGTGACGCACACTAGTTCTACTAAAGCGTAAATTCATCTCGTGGCAGCGTGTGTCTCTGGACTTAGGGATAGACGTTAATTCAATTGATTTATATACTCTATATTCTATATCAAACGGCAAAGACGCTCTAGTTTCCACCCAGAGCCTTGCTGAATCCAGCAGGCGCGCAGTAAGGAGAGTTGCCTCCCTGACAGCTCAAACCGTCAACACATGTAGCACGGGTGACCCACTTCCCATCCAGGCATTGCATGAGAGAGTCTCCGTTACATTCCCAGACGCCTGTTGCGCAGGGCGCGCTAGGTTCGCTGGTTGTGGGAGTGGCCAGCATCTCCAGGCCGCTAGTGGCGGTGGGCGTGTAAGAGGTGGTGGGAGCATCAGAGGTGGTGGAAGCGGCCTTGGCGGTTTGTGTTATCATCGTGGTTGGGACGGCAGCTTGCGCGACGTCGGCTGGGGAGTTGACGGCCTGGCTGGCGGAGCTTACGCTGGTGCTGGCACTGGATGCAGACTCCTGGGAGGCAGATGTAGACTCCTGGGAGGCAGAGGTAGACTCCTGGGAGGCAGAGGTAGACTCCTGGGTGGCAGAGGTAGACTCCTGGGAGGCAGAGGTAGACTCCTGGGAGGTAGAGGTAGACTCCTGGGTGGCAGAGGAAGAAGTAGAAGTAGTGGCCGTAGTTGCAACCTTAGCCGCGGCGCTGCTGCTGCTGCCACTGCTGCTGCCTCCAGACGCGGGTCCCTGGACGGTACCTGATCCGTCGGTGTCAAAGTTGTAGAGCTTCTCGTCGACGATTTCCCAGGTGATATCGATGTGTCCGTCAGCGCATGCGCTTCCGGACAGCTCATTCAGGACAGAGTAGCTGAAGTCGAGTCCAGGGGCGCCGTTGGCCTCCCACGTGTCACTGGTGGATGGGCCGGTGCCACAGCGCTCACAGCCGTCACCAATAAAGAGTGGTAGGCTGGAGGCTACGCCGTTGACAGAGACAACGACCTTCTTGCCGCAGTACTTGGCCATATCCCCGCGGAGGAGGGTGTTGTTCATGGCAACAACATAGTTAGTATTGATGTCGGTAAGGGGCAAGCTGGCGATGTGGCTGCACATGACTCCGCCCTGGTTCTGGGCGGCAAAGCTGGTGCCACAGGTTTCGATCTGTTCGACATCGAAGTAGTAGGTGCCGAATCCGGAGCCCTGGTTGAGAGACTGCTGCGCATAGGCGCGCGAGGAGAAGAGCAGCCCGGCTGCTGCGATGATTTGTGCCTTCATCATTTTCGTAGTGAGTGTGTTGGTAGCGTATAAAGAGATAAGACTGTTTCTCAAGAGAGAGAGTGTGTGATGTAGTAACACTTAAAAGAAGGAAGGAAAGTGATATCCGTCTAGGATGAAAGGAGTGTTGATAAAAAAGAATAAAATATCGAAAGTAATAAAGGCTCTGCCAGAGAGAGACGATAGAAGATAGAGAGAAAAAAAAGGTTGGATCGGGGTGGAAAAGGGAGAATTTATATCAGAGAAGCCAGGGCCCAGCACAAGCTTTTTTTCTGGGCCCATGTGGCGGCTTCCTTTGACATCGAGTAATGGAGCAACAAAAGGCTTGTCGTGATCCTCCCCCTCCCCCTCCCCCGGCGGCCACGGCCCCACGATTAGCGTAGGTGAAAAGCTTTGAGCCTAGAAGGTTCTAGGTTCTAGATGCCCCCAAAGTAAGACACCACTAACAAAATCAAAGCTTTTCACCTACGCTAATCGTCTTGGCGCTCTCTGGGGATTTAGTCGGCAGGTTCCTAGATGCGGGAAGAAGCCAAAGACGGGACATGACTAGAGAAGCAGGAACCCGTGGGCAATAAATCATCCTCGGCGTCATTGTCCTTGGCCTATGTCCCGTGTTTGAAATATGACGATCTCAGTGGTCCTCGGGGTCGTTGTTCCTAGCCGATGTCCCGTGTTTGCGATTCGTTATGTATCCTTTACCACACACCTTATTTTGTGAAGAGGTTTTAAAGAATTAGTAAGAACAGAAATAAAAAAAGAATTGAAATTAGTAGAAGAATTTATTAGCCACATAGTGGAACTGCCTGCATCTGTGACAGCTGCAGCCCTACCTACAGTACGGCGTACGGAAACTTGTGGCGCCGTACTGTACGCCCCCTGCGCTCCTAGGGTCACTACTCTAACGCCCCCTGCGAAGATCTTAGGAGTGTGCTCCTGCATGCGTTATTGGTCGTAGGAACGTATCAGGGAGGGGCCTCGGACCAGCGGCCGTCTGAGCATGTGAGTGTTGGTTGTAAGGGGGGTGGTCGTTGGAGTGGTGGACGTTATGGATATCATGTGATTACACTGCCGAAAAGCCGCCGCATCTTGGATCCGGCTCCATAATATTGTTTGGAGAGCCCACTATAAAGCCGCGTAAGCCCTTTCGCCAGGCTTTCGCTGGGGCCTAGAACAATGAATTGGGCCGGGTAAAGCCATGACGCGGGCGAGATTTAAGTCCAGATGATTACAGATACGGTATATGGCTGATTCGGGTGAGGTTTACGATGCCTGCCCCGCCATGAAACGGTTGAACGAACGAAGCGAATATCTGAGCAAGTCTGATAAAAAAATATCGTGTGGCGTTCACTATAGCATAGATTTTTTGAAAACCTCAATCGAGCTGCCTAATGTGCCACTAGCCTGGGTCGCCGTGATGCAGGCTAGTGGCGGTTTGGTGGCGGGCGGTTTGGACTAGTGTGGTCCCCTAACGGTCTGCCAAGACCTGTTATAGCGATCTCCTATTAGACGATTAGAACACAGGCTTCTACAGGCAGCTACTGTTCACCAAAAAGCTGAACATAAGGCTCTTATATTGCTATATCACCTACCTTACCTACGTAGCGATATAAAACAAGTGCTAGGGTTGGGCTACATACAGTCGCTGCTACCGAGCAGAATCGCTGAAGCCACGGTTGAGGTGGCACCGACGTTGCGACCGTGGGGGCTACGGCCCAATTCGGAAGGGTGGGTGCAGGGGTAGTTGCGGCCTGAGGCAGCGCCAAAATCGCTCATCGTGATTCCGGGGTGGTGGAGGTTATATTCCCTATATATCGAACGGTTTATTGGCAGACCCGTTGCGTATTGGCTTCAGACCAGACCGCTTTCTTTTGGCTCAGGTGACAATCTCTTTAAACAAGGTTGTTTTCATCGTAATTCATTCCTACTTACAGTAGTGACCGCCGTTACAACGTTAAAACTAATCGCTAACAGAAAAGGAACAACAGAAACTGAGATGTGATGAGCATCCTCCGGTATCTAGCACCATCTCCGTACACAACTCACCTCAAAATCTCGACTCCACCACTCCCCAGCCACTCACAACCTCTCTCCTCTCTCCTTCTTCAACCCCGCCGCCACACGCCTACTAATCACATCACTAATCGCCAAATTCGTCACCATGGGATTAACCCCACTCGCCGACGGAAACACACTCGCATCCGCAACATACAACCCCCTCGTCTCCCACACCCTCCCCTCCGGATCCACAACCCCCATCCCCTCCGTCGCGCTCATCCGACACGACCCCATCTGATGCGCACTCCCGCACGACAACCCCGGCGGCGCATTCCCCACCGCCTCAACCTTCCGCAGCCACTCCTTGAACTCTGGGTTAGCAGGCGAGCGCCCCGCAGAGGGATCGACGATGAAAGGCGGTGCGCCAGAGAGGTGGGGATGAATCTCCGCCGCGCCGCCGACGAGGAGGATCTTCATCATCTCCAGGAGGCCTATGAGGGTGTGGCGGCGGTCGAAGGCGGAGGGGGTGTATTCTACGCGCTTTGGGTTGGCGAGGATGCGGCCGGGGTCGCGGTCGCGCGCAAAGCTGGCGTAGGTGTTCATGTGCCGGTATTTGGCGGCGAGGAGCTTCCAGTCGGAGCCGGAGGTCCAGTTCATTTGGGAGAGGGAGAGGGTGGGGATCATGCAGGTTGCTTCCATTTTGGCGCCATGGCCGTGGCCGTCGAGGTTCTCGAAGGAGGTGCAGACTGTGGTTAGGATTGCGCCTTCCCAGGGGCGAACGTCTTCGGGGAAGAAGGCTGAGACCATGTTGGCGGGGTGCATGTAGAGGTTTCGGCCGATGTGTGTGTTCTGCGAGGTTAGTTGTGGATCGGGTTAGGAGCGGGATATAACATACCTTCAGACCGCTATTCAGGAGCAGGACAGGAGAATTCAGAGATCCAGCAGACACAATGACGCGCTGCGCCTTTACAACAACCTCCCTCTCCACACCATCCTTCGTCCACACCCCCTTAACACCCACCGCCGTCTTATTCCCACCCCTCGTCTCAAACAAGACTCGCTCAACCTGGTACCCCTCCATGAACTGCGCCCCCGCCCTTGCCGCATCAGGCAACCAACACACATTCGGTCCCTGCTTCTCCGCCGCCCCGCAACCCATCCCACAGCGCCCACACGAATGTTTGTGTCCCCCCGTATTCTGAGGCACCGCTTTCGCCTCATACCCCAACTTCCTCGCGCCCTCCAGCAGGACCCTATTACCATGGCTATGTTCGATATTCTCCGTGCTAACGCCCATGCGATCACACACCCTATCGAGCGCGTCCTGGAACTCCGTGGTTTCGAACAGCGGCAGCTTGCGGTCCCGGGACCACTCTTGACGGACGTATGACTGCGGCTGAAGCGATGCAGACCAGTTGATGGAGCCGCCGCCGCCCCAGTTGGCGCCGGCGATGAAGGTGAGGGAGGCGTCGTAGCTGGCGTCGAAGCCGCCGTTCTCAAAGAGGTGCGTGTACCCCGCTGCTTCGTTCATGGGGAGGCGGTCAGGGGGGTGGTAGTACGCTTTATCGACGACGAGGACTGAAAATCCTGCCTCCGCGAGATTCTTCGCCGACACGCCTCCGCCGACACCAGAGCCGACAATGACAACATCGAACTCAAGCGTCGCTGGCTCAGCGGCCGCCTCGAACTTCAGGAACTTATAGTCGAACGTTGGGCCAGGTTCGTAGCCCGTCGGTGTGGCGCTGTAGCCCGTGAGAGCCGGAAATAACTTAGATGTGCGCAGGTAGTTGATCTTAGCCAGGGAGGTTATGGAGCTACCCAGCACTCGTATCGGCGACAGATAGTGCGTTCGCCAGCCCTTCAGCACCCCCGAGCGCGCCTGCGCATCCAATGTGTCCAGCGTTCGAGTATAGCCTGTCAATAACAGTGCGCCTGGTCGCGTACTGCCGGCATATTAGCATGCTTCCGTGCCCACTCTGCATTTATAACTCAAAAAGAACCATACCCCAGCGCCGCCAGCACGAATTTCAATCCCTTAACCTGCTCCTCCGTCGCGTAATACACAAGCTGCCTCATCAGCAAATCCTGGAACTCCGCGCTATCACTCGGCCGCTCCGCCAGATACGCATCCAGCGTTTCCGTATCTTTAGCCTGAGCGCTCGCGCCCGCCTGTGTTGAGAGAAACGCGTACTCCGCGTCCGAGACGGTGTAGTCGAGGGACCCTTCAGTGGCGGCGGATGCGCGCACGATGCGCGGGACGGCGGCGTCCATTAGGGACATGAGGATGGCCCATTGTGCGTCGGTGAAGGGGGAGCCATTTGGGCTGGGGGGGAGGGGGGTGGCGAGGGGGGCCAACGCGGCGATAGGGCCAGATGGGGCGCTCATGGTTGGTATGGATTGAGGAGTGTCGTATGTGGTCGTATAACTCAGATTGGCATATCTGGGGTAAATTATGCCGCTGAATTGAGTTGAGGCGAGCTACTATAGTAGATAGCTTGATTGCCTTGAGTCTGGGGATGTGGAGCAGATTTATGGGGGCTAGTATGGGGAGGCGGGAACCCACAGAGCCGAGGACGCGGGGCAGTGGACCCTTCAGAACGCGGGGAACCCAGCGGTCTGGCTTGTGAATGCGCGAAGGATGTTTGTGAGATGCGGATTGATGCTGTTGTGAACATATGAATTCTCTTTGTGGCTGTTGGGATTTTTTGAGCTCAAAAATAACGCAAGGGCGCACTTGTATCTGTCTTGGCGCCCTTTGTTACCGCCGTATCTTACTACAGTAATCACTGCCTATAGCGGACGGGTCGGTTCGAGTTTTGCTGGTATATAGAGTTTCTGCTAAGTTATATGAAGTAGTTTGTTGGAACTACGTTCCTAGCAGTACGCTGCACAGTGTAGTCTATCTATATACTGCTAGGCGGTATATGATTCCCCTAAATTCTACCCTGTACCCCCTAACCGTGCTTCGTGTTGTGTGAGTGATCCTCCTTGCTATAGGCGTGTTTTTTTAGCCCTTCTGCGTTTGCTAAGTTGTTCCATCCCTTGCTGAAGCATTTCGTTCTCTGCTTTTAACAATGCTAATTGATACATCATTTGTGATACACTAGCGACAGAGACTAAGAATAGATTTATTACAGAGTATGAAGTCTGTATTAGACTATATTAGCCATGAACCGGTGTTTGCATGAATGCATTTCTGAAAACGCTCCAAGACTGTACCGATAAACCCTTACTCTTTCAAGGTTCAGGTCGGTTATAAAATCATGCTTCCCGGAAGTGTGGACACGGTAAATCTGCCACACTACTAAGAAGAAAGAAATTTATGAAAAAGGCAAAAACATACAACAGTGGGTATTCGCTGGTGGTCACCCACCCAACTACTAATCCACCGATCTCAAGTTTATGTATGGCAGAGCGGACGGGATGCCCAGTTCTCTTGAGTCTATGGTCGTATGTAATATTTATGTCCGTATTGGGAGATATATGCGTTATTCAACATATAGTTCAACTCAATTGGGAAAGGGGACGCCAGCCTGGCAAGAGTCTGTGGCTTCCACGTCTAGCCCGTTACAGCTCATCAAATTTTCTCTTAGCAGAAGTGCCAGTGGAGAGCTGCGAGCAGCCCTCGCCAACACCCAGCCGCCATCCCTCTTTCCACCAGGGAATACAGCCGCAATCAGCCGCTCGGCATGGCGTAGATTGTGGCACATTCACCATACGGCAAAGCATGCTTGCTGACAGTGGGGGTATTGCTACCCAGGCGGTTCAACCCACGGATTTTAACGTTGTGAAAGCCAATAGAGGGCCTAGATTAGGTTCTTCCCATGAATCGTAGAATGGAAGCTCAAAGTGCAACAAGCTAACGGTATGAAAGGCAACGCCTGCACTTCTGGCAGTCTGGATGGCGCTCGAGACGACTTGTAGATGGTGTTTGTAAAACTCTTCTTTTATGATCATGTCCGAGGTCAACAGCCAGTCGTCAACTTCTAGCACCTCACAGCAGGACAATCTCACCTCCTGCAACAGAGGCGGTGCCTTTTCTGGCACGCGACTGGGGTTGACCCAAATGTGCTACGGGTTTTATTAGGGGCAGCACACAGGTAGTAGCACTGCTCCCGCTCTAGAACACCTTGTGTGCTAGCACAGTTGTGTCAGCACGCGAGGCGTGATAAAACACATGTGCCAACCCAGGAACGGCTTTACCCCACTTGGGCTGTGACAGACGCTGTGCTATCGCACTTGCCGTTGTAGCACATCCGTTGTAGCCCCGTCGCTGTGCTGAACACACCCTATTTTCACGCTAGTATGTAATTATGTGCATGAATCTGCAGACTAAGTTTTATTCCAGAAATCTGGGGCCGCAACGCCACTATGGATACTATGTTGGCAAACACGCGGATGAACAAAGCTCTCTTTTATTTGAAGGGTTGAGCCATTTAAGGATTAATTTACTCTATATTCAGCATTCTCACTCCTGAATGGTACACCCTTTAAAACTCTGCCAAAGAGGTAGTTCTGTCTATCCAAAGCCATCTATACCTCGCCATCAAAGCCCAGTTATTCTGGCTGAAAGTCTAGTTCCTGCAGTTGTACTCCATCGTCCAAGTGTGTACGAACAAGGGCTCGAAGATGATCTCTGAGCTTGCATGTACCGGATACTACGTCTTGTAAGCATTGTCGATTAGTAATATAAGGTGTCTTACCCATGACAAGCATCTTGCCTCTCTCCTCCTGTGTACCGTCGTCCAGGGTGTCATCAGCTAATGCACTGTTCAGTAAGGACTCCGCTGCTAGGCCAATATCTGAATTTGTCAACTACGCACTGCACGAAAAGTATCTCCGTGCACAAATTTCAGCTAAAGAAACCAACCCCATAAGAACATCTTTCTGGTCACCATGTCGCAGAAGTGCATGCTGCTAATGTCAGCAGGTAACTCTTGGCTGAGAAGGGTATCGTACCTTTCTTAATTCGCGTGCGGACGCAGCCGACGTTGTCTCGGAAAGGAATGTGACGGCGTCGGAGTCAGAAGGCCAACGATCCAAATTTTCTACGCCGACTGCTCCATTGTCCTGCGTGTACTTCTGCATTAATTCCATCGTGATGATTCCGAGCGCTCTGACATCCTGAGGCTCCCGATTTCTCTGAGTTTTCTCGGTTTTCTCACAGCATTGTTGGTTTGCTATGAGTTCGCATTAGCAGAGAACCGCCTCCGATTATCCACAACTAACCAATTTTTACATCGCCCCCGGTGCTAAGGAGGATGTTCCGGCAATTGATAGAGCCATGTTCGAGCCCCTCGCTTTCGAGATAGATTAAGCCGTCGAGGACCTTCCGTGCTCCTTGTCAGCCTGTGACCGACGCGGCTGATGGATGTGACTCACCTGCCTGAGGATAGCTGCTAGTTCCGATTCCGTAGGATATTTAGCAATCTCTACGATCTGGTAGAGGGAGATGGGCATGTACTCGAGGACGAATGTAGAACGATGTCTCGGTAGTGAAGGCTTCAAGAGCCTTGACAATGTTGGGATGTCGTACACGACCATGCATATAGAGCGCCTTCTCGGCAGCTGCAACCGTAAATGTCCTCACGGCTACGAGTCCCGCCTTCCCTTGTGGCACAGTAACTGGGCCGTTAAGGTCGAGATCGAAATGTTTCTTGTAGATTTCCCATGGTGATGCTTTTCTTGCCGTAAATGGGCTGGGTTTAGATTCACTTATGCTTGGCGGCTTCGATATCTTGACACTGCTCGTATGATCTGTATCGTCCTTCGGAGAGCGAGATCTTTTCGGTTTTTTACTGGCGCTCTCGGGAGTGTCGCCCACTGGGGAACTTGAGAGTGCAGGTAGCGTAGCGGAAGCTTCAGGATGCTGAGTAGGCAGCAGCTGAGCTGAGCCCGCTAACATGTCGATTTTTGTGCCACGTTTACCTGAACTCATGTTGAGGCAACGTGAGCGGTAGGCAGGGTAGGTCTAGAGATCGAGGATTTGAGAGGGATAGAGGATGGACGACGAACAGAAGACGGACGAGAAATTGAAGAGTGACGACGAACAGAAGATGGACGAGGGTAGAATGACACAGACGGACGGGGATCATTCTAACCCATTCGGGGGAAGGTGAAAGGAGCTCACTGCGTAGGGCAGCACAATATGGATGTCTGAAGAACGCGCAACTGACCGAAACCTCTACCCTGCTTTTCATTCCTCCCTCTTACCTCCTCCTGCTCAAAACTTTACCTCAAGCCATGTTACATTGCTAAGAAAAGACATAGAAGATGCTACCATCGAGATATGCATGTCGGGAGGAGAGACTGGCGACAGAGGGCCGGCTCAAGTACAGAGGCACAGCTCGCGTCGGGCTCGAGGTCCTACACTTCACATGGAACGAGCCAAGGGAACCAAACCAAAAAAGTCTCAACAAGCTGAAGAAGTGCTTTGAAAAAGGGCAGTGTGACCGAGTGACGCGGAACCATATCCCAGTTGTCATTGATCGTCCCAGCTGGACGATGTCCTCCATGCTTCCTTCACAGGTCTCGGCTGAGATGCTGCTGACTAATGCCACTGACCCTCATCCCGAACTTCAATTCCCATCAGGATTCCAACTCCGCTGCCTCCATGGGCGACACCGAGTTCTGGCAGCGCGAGAGGTCCTACCTCTGCAGGAGAGATGCAGATATCGACGACGAGCTCAGGAAGGCCTTGATCGAGGAGCACTCGAACGAGCAGCCGCCGTCAGATGGCGAGATCTATTGCAAGATCCGAAAATATCAGCAAAAGCGGGATCGGTACTCGGAAATGCGATGGTGGGCTCGTCCGTCGGGCCATGGGACGAGGTGTCTCGACCAGGTCTCCCGTCATCCCGATTTTAAGGCCGCCTTCGACGATCTATTGGATATTCCTGGCCTCTGGGGCGGGATGCGAATCAGTACGTTGAATAGGATGATTAGCATGAGATGTGACGACGTGAGTCTGCCGAGATTGGCATATCTAGCTTGCACATCACTGAAACTAATCGAAACAGGAGGTCCTGTCCTATCTCACGCACATTAAGGATGTTTGGTCCCGGCTCCTCCATCACAACAAAGAAGCGATGCTTATAGTAGACCAAGCCACAGTAAAGGCCGTGGAGCTCATGGCCCCCAAATCGTCAAAGCGCGACGCCCAGGCGCTACATGGCCAATTGCTGAGCGGACAGATATTTTCTGGCTTTAGCCTATGAGGCCCGCGAGACCATCTGGAGTGGTTTGCGTACCATCAGCGGCCTGATACCATCCCTCTACACCTTCTTCGAGGATCTCAAGTATTTGGAAGCATGCGCAGGCAGCATGAGATACTTGGTTATGCCGTCTCCAAAACACACGATGCGCAGCGCCTTGAACAGTATTTTTTTTTGAAACGAACCAACTCGTCGTCCAGGATGCTCACTCCTCATATTCCACACAGTTGGGGAAGAGGTCGAAGAATTGGCACTTTACGTATCCGCAGTTATGGTTGTACACTATGCGGGACTATCCTGATTTGCCTGCCCCTCGGGAGGTGAAGACAACGAAGAAGAAGAAGCTTCTAGCGAAAGCCAGGGCTCCAAATGCCAATGAAGCTAAACTGTCGGACTTCGCAGTTCTTGCTGGCAAGTTACGGTTTAAAAGCGATGAGATAACGGCGTTAATGCTACGGTCCTCGGACAGAAAGATTGCACGTGATGCATTACTACGAGCGCGAAATCAGGATCGCTATGATTACGGTGATGGAGACATTGAATCTCATATCGACAAGATCTTGGGATTATTTGCAACCGCCAGACCTCGGAATACCGAGCAGTCGTGTCCCGCTCTTGTCAGCGACGGTCCAGACAGGGCTGGCCCCCGATGTGGGTTTCCAGACGAGGAGGCTCATGCGAGAGATAGAAGGTTTCTCTATATAAGCAATCTCCAGTCAGACCAAGAAGAGCAAGGCGAGAGCATCACTTCGTTTTTTGTCCGCAGATCAGTATACTTTGCATTCTTTGGTAGGCTGCCGAAGATAAGCACACACCGCCCAATGGTGGTGCGGAACGGGCAGCATCTGCTCCATTTCTCCAAACGCAAGTATCAGAGGTAGATCTCGAGACAGATGAGGAGCGGCTCAGACAGAACACACTAGAAGACAGGCTGGAACAGCTGAATGGTGATGGAAATGATGCACAAGAGGCGGATGACTCATTCCAAGTGTCAGAGAGGGATCGAAGGCGGGACACGCACATTGCCCTTGAGAGAATTATAGCAGAGGGACTCGCCAGCATCCCTGAAGGTACTGAGGATCCACCAGAGCACTCTGGAGAGCAGAACCTGGACATGTAGCTGCAGCTAGTACCTCCTCCCCCTTCCAAGATCCGCATTGAGTTCAAGATTCTTGACGAAGAGGTATGGATGACCGAGCGGAGTCTTCTGGTGGACCCTTCTGAACCGTCGGAGGTGGAGCGGGTGACGAAAAAGTACATGAGAAAGGGAATGAGGCCCTTTGATACCTCGTTCAACTTCATTGTCCCACAAACATGCTTCCAAGCAGTGACTACTGATGGGACGAACACCGTATTCTTGATCAAGGAGGATGGAATTAATAACCAGCTTGTTGTGTTTGATCCAACATCTGACGCAGGGCCTTCTGCAGGCAGTAGGCTGAAGAGGAGTCGACATTAAAATGAAAACGGTACCATTCAGTATGACTATTCATTTTTTTGGCCGAAGATAGAGCCCTACATATTTCGAGAGGGTGTACTATAGAAACAACGTAGGTGTCTTGGGGATAGAGGACTAGAAGGTATGACTCATACTGTGACTTACCCTAAGTTCGCATTTTGGGATCCTTTGCCTGCAGATTTACCCTTGTTTAATAGCTTCAGGGCGACGTAGACAGTACGTACCAGTAAGTAACTCTCCAGCGTGCCATCAGAACCATCTGTGGTGGATCATGGTGGTCCCGCGCGATCGACAGGGGTTGCTCATGTTGCGATTATAGTCTATAACTATGAAAGCTATAGTCAGAAAGCGAGAATAGTGGACTGCCGCTGGCATTTCATGGCAAGCTACGACTATTCGAAGATGTAAGAGATCTTATATCTCCAGAGACGGTTTGAGGGCCACCACACGATGGTCTCACCCGATGGTCTCAATGAACCCACACCAGGTATCCACCGAGTTATCCTTGAAATCGGCTCCGCTTTTGGGGACCTTGGTGATGAAGGAGGGATACTGCAGCTGGGATGGGCTGCACTACCTAGAGTACAATCAAGCGGCCTTCAAATATATAGAAACTGGGCTCTTCCCCATCGAGAGCCTTTATCGCAGGTCCCAGGTCCATCTCTTCGGCCAAATCGCGCGCCGTATGCCCATCATTGTCCACCGCTTCTACCACTGCCCCTCTGTCGACCAAGAGTTTCGTCGCTGCCCCATGCCCTAGCCAAGCAGATAGGTGTAACGGTGTACGCCCGAGTTAGTCCACTGTGTCAAGTTTGCGTCCTAGTCAATCAAGAGGTCAATAATCTCTAGGTGTCCGCCATCGGCCGCCAAATGCAACCCCGAGCTTCCTTCGAGGTCGCGAGCAGATATCATGGCTCCTTGCTCTAAGAGTACTCTCACCGTGTCGACGGACGTGCTCTGCACTGCCAAGTGCAGGAATGTCTGCTCTTTCTTATTCAAAGGTCGTCGACGGTGTTGGCTGGCGCCTGGTTCGCTTATCGGCCATTTACTTCGCTGGAAGCTGGCCCTTCTTTGGTTGGGGATATGCTACTGGGTGTATGGTATGGACAAACTCTAATGTTGGCCGGAGACGCGCGCACAGGTTAATTGCGGGGAGGAACCTATTTTGGCCCTGTGCGCCCGTGCTCGTCACCAGCATAAATGAGGGCGGTGTTGATACGTTGCTGGGACCTTCACACAAGGGTGTGAGCTCAATTGACTGCAACTCGATCATTCATCATGTCGAACCCCCGCTTGAGTTGCCAGAGATCCTAGCAATTGTGCTCAATCGTGTTTGGCAATTGACCGAAGTAGAACGTCTCGGATTGGCTAATAATATGAACAGCGTCGGAGTACAAAGAAAATTCAACGGCTTTAGGATAAGCCATGCAGCTTCGTTCGACTAATTGACAGATCAGGCGTAGGAGAGCATGTTTGCCATCTCTCCTGATCCTCTGAAATCATTTTCAAACTCCTTTCCAACCTCGAGGACGTTCTCTAAATGAGAATAGCATAGGTGTGTACCATCGCTGCTTGCTATGGCATGTGCTGAACGCACTGCGTTCTTAATCTGTGCGACAGTATCAGCAAAATAACCCTATTCGAGGGTACCTGGAACACTTGCCTGTCTACCATTGAGACTGTGCTTGGCCAGGATGTTCAACTGCTTGTCACTATACGCTGCATTCCCGTTCTCTGTCTTTGCCCTCTCGAGAAAGCTCCTCCAGATCGCTTTTCTCGTATCAACGCCTAAGGGGCTGTACTTAACACCAATGTGTATTCTGCTCTGCACTGCTTCATCAAAGTCTCTGACCCGGTTCGTGGTAAGTAACATAATGCCCTTATAATACTCGAGCTTCCGTAAAAAGACCGAGACGAGAGAGTTGTGATTAGAGTCCATACCAGCATATTCTTCTAGCAACCAGCTTGCATGCTTTCACCTCCAAATAGCGTCGTAGAGCTCGCAAAAGTGTTTTATACCTTCTTTCCTTGCTGCAATGACTACATTTCCAGGCGCTTACGCTGAACTGTAGTATGGTGTGCTCAGGCGATATGCATTGAGCTCGTTTGGGGTTAGAAGCAACACGAACTAGCTGAAAGTTCCGATTAGTCCAATATGCTCCGATATGCTCCAAGATGCTCCGCTGTTTGGATCTAAAAGTAGCAAGGCCAATTAGGCAGCCACACTGGCGAGGCAGATTGCAGAAGCAAAGCGTGACGTGGCCACGCAGGTATCCGAATTTCTCCAAGCGCCAGACAGGGGTTTCCACATGCATGCATGATGTTGGAACATACAAACTGCTCCAATATGCTCCAACATCCTCCTCTATTTAACTAATGCTGCATCCTGCTCCAATGTTCTCCAATTGCTTCATTTTGCCACATTCTTTGCTTCGAGAGTTCCGCAACCCATTAGTCCATAAATTCGCCAGTGTACAACAATCACTTCGGACGCCACGATGAAGCCTCTGCTAAGGCTTGTGGAGGAGATACGTCATGGTATCCCAAGCCACTATCACGTGGATCTCGAAAATCGTCTAGCTATAGCGTGGGGGGAACGGAAACGCAAACGGTTCGACATTAAACCACGGTCCAGAGGTGAAAATTTAGTGGCGACTCGAGAAAACCGTGCGCGTATCATTTACTTGCAAGCTCAAGATGAGGACTGCCTCCTCTTCCTGGCCTTCATTTTGGCATACTCTCCTAGGTCATGTGTGGATTTTAAAACCACGGAATTCGTAGAGCTTCATGATTATGCGTTGGACAACAAACAGCAAAGGGCGAGTCCTGAGCCTGAGAAGTTACTTAAAACCATGGCTATCAGGAGAGGTTTCAACCAGAACCTCCACTATTTAAACTACATGCAGAGGATGTTTCCTGAAGGTTTTGTTAATACCATATTGTGTTTTCTCTTAGTATCCGCCACATTTGCTGGATCATAAATCATGATCTCCTCGCCGTTACCCGTCAACCATCTTGTGTCTTCTGCTTCCTCAAAAAAAAATTAGGCTAATACTCCAGTACTCCTTGACTTGCTTTCTCTCCACGCTAGATATGACAATATTAGCTTTTGATATGCACCTGACTCGGGCACTAACGGACCTTTTGCGCACATGATGAACGGCTGTGTGATATTGTGTTGCTCAAGCTCCCTCAAGTGTGCCTGAAGATAAATGGGAGATCGTGAGTCCGTCTTGGTTCGTTTGAGACTGATATATACAAGCCAGATGCTACTGGTCTGCTAGAGGAGAAGTCGAAGATATACGACCGCCTTGAAGGGTCTGATATTGCCTCTCTAGCGACCTCAGATGCGGTTGCTCCAAAGCTTTGTTAATAAGCGATATGTTGTGGTGTACAGGTGAAGAAGGGCGATGAGAAGCGGCCTGCACCCTGATAGAATTTGTCGCGCTCAATATGCGAAATGATGGAGAGGAAACCCGCGGCAACAGCGACACGGAAACAAGAATCTAGTGAATTATTTGGCGGGCTCGACTTGTGAGAAAAACGATGGCGAGACAGCGTCCCTCGGGGTAGTGTGGATTGAGGGCTAATGGCGACACTGGTCAGATTGGATCAAAGTCATCCTTGTCGCTCGGGAGAGTACTTGGATGATGCCTGGTCGCGATGCGAGGATGAGGCTATTTATTTGAGGGAAGAAACTCGCTGTCTGCGGGGCCCAAGTGGTGGGGCTTGACGCCATGTGATTTGCTCGGCAATCCGACACTGACCGAAAACACCTGCAGTCAGGCAGTTAGGCTGCAATGCCTTTGTACGATGAATGCCTTCAGGCTGAAAGAGCTTTGACGACCTCACGAAACACAAAGAATAAAATATTTGAAACCCAGTAAAATCAATCGCTTCAGTTGCTCTCTCTTGATCGAACGAAATAGCGTGGACTCATGCGCATCGTCCCACAGTATATAAGTGCCATGACATCAACGTGGCGTGGCATCAAACGACGGTGTGGCCAACAGACTCCGCCAGCATACCACAGCGTATCGAAGCTGCAGCCACACATGTCAAGGTCACGATTGTGGCAGTATACAACAAAAGTTGACGGGACATAGCACCTCAATACTCATGAACACTAGACACAGTACATGTGTTTGGCTCTCAAGGTCAACGTCTACAAATCAGGACCCTACTTCGTCGTTGAATTTACACGATCATTGGAACGAGAACAAGATCGACGATGAGGGATCACCTACAAGCAATGCGGTCACATATAAAGCCAGTCTGCGCAGAGCAACACAGCAACACAGCTCAAGGAGACTTCGCAGAAATGTGCCACATGCCGTGGCGCACAGATTCCTGGAACAAGCAGTGCCCGGTCAGCAAAACGGAAATAGCAAAGGTGAAAGCAGCCTATGATTCGCGTCAACAATACATTACGTCCCATCATGGACAGTTACCGGAATCAACGACCTGCCAACTCAAAACCGAACCTCAATGGAAGCATCGACGGTCACCAGACCCGAGATCATAGATTGCTCCGTCTTTATACGACATCCTTGTGAGATAATTGCCGCTACAGGGCCTGATGGGGTTCGGACTTCCCATGTGCATAGATGCTAAGACTGAAGAGATCAAGGTACCCTCCAACAATGTCAAAAACATGCTCCAACATGCTCCATTTTCTCATACCAGTATGGAGGTCTATGTATAAAGGAGAAGCTGCAAAATGAGGCGACCAATATGCTGAGTGGTATCGACTTAATGACATAGTTTACCTCTACTGGCTAGGTCGTCACCATTGGACTCGATTTCATCAAAGCAACTTAAACCGAGCTTATCCGTCGAGCGCAAGCCTCCTCCCTATGCCGACCTCCTACCTTTCTATCCTGCTCTCCTCGATTGCATTGTGTATAACTACGGCAAAGTTTTCCATTTCTGTCTGGAGACAATACCACGAATACACTTGGAACTCTATGTCTACTACCAAAACGAAGTTATGGCTTCAGATGGCTATGTCTGTAGTTCGCAGCAGGTGATGTGACGGAAGGAAAGGTAAAGAATGTCTTGTGACAAAGTAAAAATATAGAGAGTCTTGGGGGTGATTGTACGCGTTCATGTGACTATCCTCTAGGATCATCGCGTTAACCCAGAGCCTCTAGCTATCCATGTTAAGCTGCAACTCCTATGGGCTAGTAGAGGGATTTTGTAGTGCCAAGTCTGTTGGTGTAGCTATAAGGCGGGTGAGGTATTCTATTCTAGCTGTGCGGTTAGCAGGTGGTGCTTGCGGTCTCTAGGGCCACTAGCGGAATTTAGAGGCTGTGGTAGTCTTCCTATAGTGCATGATTTCATCATTTATGCCGGGCATTTGAGAGTCTCTGATGACTGATTAGTAACTGGTCTAGACGATAATACCGCTTTCCGAGAGATAAATTGCTTGAAGAGTTCATAGTCCTCAGTGAGGTAGTCTTCGTTGTATTGGTAACCGGTATGCATGATTCCACGCGAAACGCCGTGGGAGTAGCCATCTTCAACAGCAAGGGCGTAGCTGTAGATGATATTGCGAATTTATATGCGCAATCTGAGGAAAGTGCTGCGATGATCCGTCGGAGGATTGCTGGCATGAGACTTGTCGTCCTGCTCCTCTTCGGGCTTTTCAGGGACTGTCCGACCAGGATTCCGGGCGCCAGCCTTCTCTTTTACCGACTCGGACTTTTTGGTGACTGTTAGCTTAGGTGCCCTACTCGGACTTTTTGGTGACTGTTAGCTTAGGTGCCCTAAGCTAACAGTCACCAAAAAGTCCGAGTAGACTAGACAACAGCGTAGATGAACTTTGGGAACCCATAGTGCGCACAGAAGCTTGGACGTGTCTTTCGTGCACTTAGACACAGGGGGGATAGTTAAGGTAGGTGGAGGTTGAGGAAGCATGGGAAGGATCACGGACCTTATTCCACTGTTAGGAGCTAGCCAATTACTCATTGGCAGACTGAAGATCTGGATCTTGACAGCTGATTTGGGATTGATTTCCAACTAAAATCTGGCCCTCATGTAGGCTAAAGAAAAGTCGAGTATGACGAGAAATAGGAACATAGCTCGAGGTTGAAGCATATCACCATAGTTGCAATAAAGTATATGGCGGCGTCATTGGACTGCTTCTATTCATACCTAGTAAAACACGCTATTACCTACTTTCCTCTTACGTAGTTAAATCAGATCAAACAACTCTTCCAGCCTCAATCCCAATTCACAGCCGGCTCTTCACCCACGACTTTATCATATCCGCGCTAGCTCCCAGCTCCGGCTCCGCCAACAATGTCGCCAGCAGCGGCATCTCATGCGCCTCGTCCTTTGCCGACAACAGCTGCACGCCCGTTCTCCCCTTCGACAACGTCGCGGCAACAGCCTTCACCCCATCAATCAGAATTTCGTCCTCTCCTCCCGTGATCAGAATATCATCAACTGGAATCCCATCCCACCACTCCGCCTCCGCCAGTGCAGGCTGCGTGTAATTCGTGTTGGCATCTACCGGGTGGGGGTAAGGGGTACCCAGGAAGCTTGTCGAGCACTTAACGAGGAAACCAGGCGTCAACTCGTCTTTGCGTTCGTTAAGGGCGTATCCGGGGTTAGAGGTGGAGAAGTCGGCCCACGGGCTGATGAGGATGGCGCCGAGGAACTTCGCGCCTTCTTCGAGCGAGACAGCGGGGACGGACGGATGCGGGTGCGCGAGGTGCGAGAGCAGCGCAAGCGAGAGGTTTCCACCTGCGGAGTCGCCGGCGAGGATGATGGAGGAGAGATCGACACGGAGGTTCGTGATGATGTGTGTAAGCAGCGCGGAGGCCTGGATGAGCTGGCGCGGGAACTGGGCACCGGGAGCGAGGTCGTAGGAGAGGAAGAGGACCGAGGGGATCTCCTCAGCTGGGACGGAGTCGCGGAGGGATTCGCGCAGAGTGTGAAGATACGCAAATGAGTAGGGCTCGGCGGGGACAACGTAGCCGCCGCCGTGTAGGTAGAGGATTATCTTCTTGGCGTTGCGTGGACCGATCCAGTGCGCACGGGTGCCATCCTGGAGGATCTCAGACTCGGGGGCCACCTTGTGGATTTTGCAGTAGGCGGCATAAATGTCGTCGGTGGGTGGTGCGCGGTATTGGTTTTGGTAGGGGGTGAGGCTGTCGACGAGGGCGCGGACGGCGGTGTACATCACATGCCTCTTGATGGTGGAGGGCGTTGTGGAGCGGTTTCGGAAGGGCGCGCCGAGGAGTGCAAGGATTGTTTGGGTGACTAGAGATGATGTTAGTGAGGTCTTAGTGGTGTCTGGTATACTTACGAATGCTGAGGAGCTTTGGGGTAAAGGTGAGCTTCTCGGTGAGGGGCATCTGGGCAAGAGCCGCCTGGTGGGATAGCTTGGACGACGACATGGTGCAATACCTTGCGGGGATGTGATTGGCGCTAGTAATCGTCGTAGAATATGAAGTGTAATGAAAATACAGACAGGATGATTAGGTTGTTGTTAGATGAATGAAGTCTGTAATGGAGATAATTGTCATATTAACGGAAGTACGTACGCCGAGGCTGATCGACAGCCGGGCGCAGACCGAGGTTCGTGGGTGTTAAGAGAAGAGCCTTGGCTGAACAGGACAGTGGGAAGTCACGTTGTAGATAAATACGTAACGGTTTACATGACCTCACCTCAACTTGGGCGTAATTTCAGGCATCTACTTTTTAGACAGAACAATACACACGTTAGTCAACAGACTCTGTATTGATTACGGATGAGTTCTAGTATAGGGACACCAGTACTCCGTAGAGAAATTGGGATTTGCTGTACGGAGTAACGCTGCTCCATTTTGTAGCAGCCCTATAAAACTAGCCGCTGTGTAGGAAATATAAAACCCTAGCAGGCTTGGCATCATAATTGCCTAATTAGGATAGTGACTGGTACACGGTAGCAGCTAGGGTTACTATCCATAGGTAGTTGGTTAAATTGAATTAGGTTATAACGTGGTTTATCACTAAGCAGCGCACTTTGAGCGATTCCACCACCCTATCAGTTTAACACGTGTTTTATTTTGTATTTAACATGCCCTACGGCGGATGCGATGGTGCGCTGTCAACGTGGCGCGGGCGGGTAAGTTAGGCGGTGCCGCTGGGTCGGGTACCTGCGGTGTGTGTGCGGAGACAGTCTTGGTCTCATCGAGGAGCACAGGATCATCTTGGAGTGTAGGAAGCAACTCCATCCTCGGCAGTGGCATTGCAGAACAAGTGTCACCCTCTACAAGTGTCACCCTCTAACTCGCCGCCTCTCGGCGTCGTCCTGTCACTGCCATGCACGCACTACCCAGTCAGCGTTAGTTCGCGCCGTTGTCCCTGTGTCGTTCCTGGTTGTTCGTGTTGTGCGTCCGCGATTGCGCCGGCAGGCCTTCACCTCACCTCTCGCGCCTTGTGTCCCTCTCTCCTCTCACCCCGTCCCTTTCGTGTCTCTCACCAAGATCCTTTCGTGTCTCTCACCAGCGAACTTCTAGATGCGCGGCGATCGTCCCCTTTTGCTGGTTGTCTCGCTGGCTTTTCCGCGGTTAAGGGGGGGGAAGTGCTGTGGAGGCGTTGAGGCTTGTAGAGGGGAGGTAGAGGAGTTGGGGATGCGTGTACTGTTGTGAGCGTGCATGTACCTTTTGTGAGGCACGACGGTCAAGAGAAAAGGGAGGAGGGAGGGGAAAGGGAGGAATTGGTGGAATTGGTGGAATTGGTGGAATTGGTGGAATTGGTGGAATTGGTGGAATTGGTGGAATTGGTGGAATTGGTGGAATGATGTGGGAGTACGGTGAGAGGGTACATGCAGGACATAGATGGTACAAATGACACTATATGCGGTACTTGTAAGACAAAGAAGACAAAGAAGACAAAGAAGACAAAGAAGACAAAGAAGACAAAGAAGACAAAGAAGACAAAGAAGACAAAGAAGACAAAGAAGACAAAGAAGACAAAGAAGACATGGAAGAAGAGGGCGAAAACAGTGAGTTAATAACAGGGCGAGACATTTCTTTTTGGTTGGGCTGGCCCAGGTACGAGTGGGCCGGTGGCGGGTTGGTGTGAGTGACTGCATGTATTTTTTATATAATAGGTACCAGTACATCACCTGCGGTTGGGTGCAGACTCAGGTACTACTAAGTTAAAGGTACTACTAAGTTAAAGTTACTTCTCGTATACTCGGTACTTCGACACACGTACAATTTACTACTGCATAATAAGTACTGCGTACCGTCTATACCAATACCAGCTTCGGTCGTCGCCTTCTCCTTCAGGCCAACTTCGTCACTCCTCCACCACCAACAACAACCAATTCACCAACCATACAATAATTAATCCACACGACCACAGCTATCACGACTACAAACTTCTTCTTCTTCTTCATCATCATCATCAACAACAACAACAACCTCGTCGTCGACCCCTCATCGTCGACCCATCATCAACCATCGACAGCGACCATCATCGACCGACCACCTGCGACACGAGACACCACCCGCTTGTTGACCTACTGCCCTACCAAAAACTACATAAAAAACTATACTACTACACACTACGGAGGAGAAGACCATCTGGCAGGTGCTACGTCAACCCTTTTCGCGCGTAACACCAAAACAATACAATACAATCCCCACAGAACCGGGCAGAACGCACAATATCAATCATCACGAACACCTTTCAACTGCCGACTTCAATCCAACCAAAAACGAATCCACTGACCACAAGTTGTCTCCCTCTCGTGTCGTCCGTTTCAGGCTGGAATCCACGCAAAAGCTGGTCCCGTTATAGATAACAAAAAGTTGATCAACTTTGCTCCTCAGATGGACGGCGAGCATTGGGGATCATCACCCGAGGAGACCCAGAAGAGGCGTGAGTTGTTATAGGAGAGGTAATCGATACCACACACACCGGCCCGTTCGGCTTGTAATTGCCACCGTCGCCGGGTCGAGACCGGAAGACGGCACGTCGAACACACACCACCACCACGCTGGCTGAGCCAAGTGAGGAGGACAGAATGGAGGATAAGCCGCTGAGGAATCCGAGCCAGGTGCCGGAGATGACACAGGCTACCCCGTCGAGCATGGCTTCGAAATCGGCCAATCCGTTGACGACGACGACATCACCCACACAGACACGGAAAACCTCGCACTCCCCAGCACCAGGCACGAAGAAACTCATCAACTCACAACCACCATCGAATACAGCATCACCGAAACCCTCTCGCGAACCGTCACCAGCGAGGCCGACAGTGAGATCCGCGACGGTTAGGACAGGAAATGGCCGGAGGAAGAGCAGCCAGGAACCGAGCCCGTCACGGTCGGCTAGTGCTACGGCTGCGAATATGCCATCGAGCGCGGCGGTGCAAAGGGCGCTGTCAACGGCGAATACACCTCTTCTGAAACCCTTATCAGACACCGCCATCGTGGCACCGCAACCACAGAAGATCACCGTCCCGACAGAACTCAAAGACGCTCCGCGATGGCCGATATCACCACGACTGAAGTCGCCGCCGCCAATCAACAGACCGACAGGCATGGCGAGGAAGACTGACCAGGAACTGCCACCGATCAGCACGCTGCGGTTCCAGACGTCGAATGAGAGCGCACAGTCGGCGAATACGGACACGGATTATGACGAGTCCTTAGCCATGTCTGGCATCCGCAGCCCGGGTCGCGGAGTCAGCACGAGCGCGACAACATTGGAGACTGTGCCGGAGAGCAGCCAGCCCGGCAGTCCTGGGATTAGGATGGGGCTGGAGCGCTCGCAGGAATGGAAGCAAGGAGGCTTGCCAGAAGAGCAGATCGCGATTGATAAGGCGTTTACTAAGAATATGAAGTCGTCACCCGCGGCTGCGACGACTGACAGCGGAAGCGAGAGCGGCGAGAAGAAGGGCGGGATAAAGCTGAGGCCCACAACAGGCGCGAATACCACACCGCGGCCGAATGCTGCGCAGTTGGCCAAGCAGGCTAGTTCCAGCGCTCTGGGAGGTAAAAAAGCAGCAGAAGCCTCTGCGACGAATAACATGACGGTAGAGACCGAGACGGTCAGCTCGATTCCCCAGGTTGCTGTCGGTGGAGGGACAGGCACCGTCAACGGCAGTCTGCGCACGAAGCCCAGCTCCGAGACCATCCGCCCCAAGAAGGAGAAGCGGAAGACGACGCGCAAACCCCAATCCGTCCAGAACGGCGTTGGTGAGACTCCCGATTCCTCAAGTCATCACCGATCCCCCAAGCCGCCGCGCTTACACCACCACCCTTCTCTCCGTTCCATTTCTACGATAGCAAGTGCGCACACCCCCCCAAGTGAAAGTTCACGCCCCGCCACGGCCCTAGGCCACCACCTCCCCCCTCCTCCTCCAGCCCCCCACTAACCCCGGGACTGTCCTCCGACTTCCGCATCCCCAGCCTCCTCACCATGGGCAGAAGACTAACGAACCCGCCCCGCGCAGCATCCTCAAAAGCAGATATCTTCGAAGCCAAAATCGCCTCCGCAGTCGACGAAGCAAACTCCTCCGACTCCGAAGAAACATTCGTCTACGAATCAAACCCCCCCGACCACGAACGCCCGCGCCGCTTCCACTCCCGCAGCCCCAGCACCACATCCATGGCCTCGCAATCGCAAGCTGATCTCCGCCCCGGCCCGCCGAGCCGCCTCGCGAATACACTAGATGGCTCGAATGGCCACAGCGTCGCGATGAAGAAGAGCATGAAATTCGCCTCTTCTTTCGCTCCACTCCCGCCTACCTCCGACGCCGCTACAGATGACGACGCGGCCCAGCGTGCGCTCGGCACAGGGCGTGGAACGATCCGTCATCATCATATTGGCCGCTGGGGGAGGAATAATAATACCAGTTCCCACGGCTCACTTTTTGATGCCGAGTCACCCTTTCCTCACGCCACTAAGCCGTCGAAATTCGGTAACTCGGCGTCCATGCGCCAATCCTCCCGCCCGACGAGCCCGCGCGTTGGCGCTAATGGGAGGGGGGTGAATGGGAATGGCACGGTGCGGAAGGGTGGATTCGCGCATGCATACGATATTGATGATGGTGCGGGGGCGGATGATGAACGAACACCCCTCATCGGGTCAGGGACACGGTCTACGCGCTCGCGACACCGCAGGAATCCACCCACGTCTTCTCAACAACGGCAGCGCAATTCTCGCTCCCCGTTCGGGGCATGTCTCATCCTCGGCGTAATGGCCGTCCTCGTCTTCTCCGGCGCCCTAGCGCTCCTTCTCGGCACCGCGCAGCCGCTCGGCGGGGTAAGGATCGCGGCGCTGAGGGATGTATTGGCGAGTAAAACGGAGCTGTTGCTTGATGTCGATGTTGTAGCTAGGAATCCGAATGTTTTCGCTGTGGGGGTGGATAAGCTGGATATTAGTGTTTATGCGAAGAGTCGGTATGCTGGAGATGAGGCGATGTATGCCCGAGCTGCTGGGGATGGAGCCGCGCTCAGATATGGGGCACGTGGCACTAGTGAAGAAGGGGGCGAGGTGGTGCACACCCGCGACTATTCGCCGTGGGATCCGTATCCGCCTCCTCCATCTGATACGCCGCTCCTATTACTTGGGCGGCTTACGAGTACGGATACTGCGCTCTCTTTTCCGGCGTCGCCGTTTAGGCACTCGGCGTCCTTGTCTACTGCTGCCCTCCGCCTACCCGATCCTGGAAATTCCACAGAGGGACGCGCAAAGTGGGAGCACATACTTAAGGGGGGACATAACTGGGAACTTATCCTGCAAGGTGTGGTTGAGTACCGGATTGGGTGGTTCGGAGGGTCGGGGGCGGGGAGGAAGAAGGTAGTTCCTATTGGGGGGGGTGTGGAAGTTGGAGGGGGGGGGGAAGACGGCGTGGTTTTTCTGCGGTGAAGGGGGATGGCGCTGATGTGGATGGCGCTGGTGCGCTTCACATATATATACTTACTACTACTACTCTTTTCTTTTGTTTCTCGACCAAACCAACGACGACGAAAAACGACTTTGATGACGGGGGACGGACAAACAACGACCCCCTTGGGCATTTTTTAGATTGGGAGCGGAGTGGCGCGGGTGGGGACTCTTTTTTTTTATTGATTGATGGGATTTAGTGTTTTGTTGTTTTTCTAGTCGGGGTGATGGGGGGTTTGGAGCTTGTTTTGTTTGTTTTTGATGAGTGTGAGGATGGGGGTTGTTGGGGGGATGATATTATTAAACTACTTTTTTTTCCTTGCGTCATGGTGTGGTTGAGGAGAAAGCAGGGCGATACTGCGAGTTGTAGTTGGCGGGAGAGGTTGAGGGTAGGGTATTAAAAGGGGGTGGATGGTGAGGGGATGGGGGAAAAGTAAATGGGGTAATAGGGGGGTAGGAAAGTGGGATATGTTTGAGAACAACAATTCCTACCTACCTAACGTACAGTTACTGTAATACGGATGGAATGGATGTAATATTCATGGATTCTTCACCCTTTGACAAGATGTTGATGTTGCCCATGTTGTGTGTTGAGCTTGTGCGGGTGTGCGGGTGTGCGGGTTGAATGTTTATAACTCCCATGTACGAACACCGCGTTATACTCTTATCATTTTAGCGGATGGTAGGGGCCGAACGCTGCAAGTTTTAGTGAAACAATTTACCCGTACGAACCAAAACAAAAGCTAGCAGCTGCACACAAAATCCTCCGTTTTTAATTAAGGTATTATGCAAAAGGCTTAAGTTATCTAAGTGGTGGTAGCTTAGTTTACCCATTTACAGATGTTTTGCTTACTTTGCTTTCCGGTCGTCCATCATCCTCAGAATTTGGTCCGCAAGAATCAAAAAAAATGGCTACAACTCCATGACATGAAGCAAAAACATATCATTCGCAGCAGTTGTGGGATCACCCGAAACCATGAGTTACAACCTCCTGGCGAACGAGGCATCACATAAGGATTCGGAGAACGACCCTGCCGATCGCACTCCTTCGATACATCGTTTAAACCACTATAAGATCTTGTTTTTCTTATGCTCTTCGTCTGGGTGGGAAGTTTTAGCACTTGGGCATGGTTACAATATACTAAACAAGCAGATCAAGAATCTAAACGTTCTCCCTTTCTGCCTGGTAAGTCGCTCTAGCTTTAGATTGGGTTATCTGACGCTGGTTTTTAAGTACCTCGGAGAGGTGCAACTTTCCAGTCGGATCCGAGCTTCCAGTTTACAAACGTCGATCAAGGGAATTCGTCTTGGGGGTCCTTATTTCCGAGTCCGTTCACGCTCTATTTTTGCCTTTTATATATGTCTAATTCATATACCAGCTGGTAGTGGCATGGTTACAACTGCGCAGCCCGAAAGATATAATTTGTCGCCAAGTTTCCCTGATCATCATAAAAACTCCACCTCCACGAAGGGCGAAGTGTACTCCATGTCTATGTATCACCAACTACATTGCCTCGGAAGCTCTATCAGTTTTGCACTACTACGACGTATCTGACTTTGTTCTACAGGCATCGATTAGGCAGCACTTCGGCTCGATAACTGGAATATTTAACAAGGAAGGCGACAAATCAACAGCCAGTGGGCGCGTTTTTCGTCCTGAATCGCATCTCGACCACTGTTTTGACTATTTGAGACAGGTATAGCATTCAAACCTTGCCATCATTCATTCGATAGCTAACTCTCTGGAACAAAAGGCAATTATGTGTGCCTGGGGATTTAGCACTCGAGTCATCAGTGGTGCCTAACGAGTTTGAATTTAATGGTTGGGGAACATCACACCAATGCGCAGATTGGCGTGTGATGTCGGACACTGCAACTGCTCATAGATATATGTACGATCCATATGAAGAAATGTGAATAGCGCATACTGGTTCAGCCCCAACTGCTGGTGGTGGTGTTCCCTCGAATGCGGTGGTAAACAGATGGGGCGAAAATTTAAGGTTGTGACCCAAGTACGATTAAAGGGTTTAACATATCCTTAGTATTCGCCGATTCTCTTACAAACCTGTTCCGTCAAATCAGATACAGTCTGCGAATTCGCACACACGGTGCCTCTTAATGCACCTCCGCACTCCTAAACCCCCTCACTGCCATACCCCACAAATCATTCTTGCTACGGAATACTTACCCGTTAGAGTATTTATAAATGAAAATGGCTCCGTTCATGACTGCAGGTGGTCACCTACTTGGCTTTTGACCCCTCATAAATGATATTCTTATGCATAAAAAGTCAGCACTAGCTTGGAAACTCGAAGCAATGATGTCCGTCAGCAAAGCAATACAGTATTTGGTACGGCTAAATACGACTGATTCAGGCTACAGGACATTTACGAACTCAAGATCAGCTCTTATGGACAGAACCAGCCACATCGGCAATGAACTCTAGGGTATAAATATCAACTTAATCTTCTGTGTTTAAGAATCACAACGCAACCAACAGAGAACACTTCGTACACCAGCTCAACCTAAAAGTTCAGTTCTATAACTCAGATAGCATGCCTTGATCACCGTCGTGAGCCTTATGGCTGTTACAAATGCTGCTCCCGATGCACTTGTCAGGAAGGCTCTTGATTCTGCTGTTATGCAATATCCGGGGGATCTCAGCATGGACTTGATCAAACGCTCCCAAGCTGCAGCTCGATGCAACGTTGCCTGCCCTTGCAACTGGTGCGGCATCACCATTTGCCGCCAATTCAACTGCTAGAGCTTAGTGTACTGTTGGACGACGCCATAAGAGCACCGTGTTAACTATTAAAGTGTAGACAAAACCTTGAAATGAGGAAGCTAGATTTATGCTGCTGAATTTCAGATTGTTTGGGGCCATGCTTGTCGAGCAGTTGTAGTACGGCTCATAACACTCATTATAATGCAGTTCTAGAGAAAGCTTAAGATAAATCAAAGTTTATTTCCAGGCTAAATATATTGTCAACAATCTCAGACGTGGATGTTTGTGATATAACATATACCTGGCCCGCTGAGCATAACGTAAATTAATCGCTGTTGTTCCTTTGATATTATAGAGATTATTTACATGTTGGGTTTAATATAGCCTGGATAGAGACTGAAATTATTATCTTGTCCGTATACGATGAGTGCAATAGGCTTCATTATACTAATTCCCTCACGTGTGCATTGTCAGCATTAAGACATCGCATCATCTGCTCTATTAGGACATCTTCCCAGCTTAGAACACTACCTTTGCCGATATGACAGAGGTCAGAATGGGATTTGGTCAACGCAAATGATAACTAATTAATCCACCATTTTACAAATGTGCGAGGTTATTTGAGGGGAATTATAAAAATTATTATTCTCCTATTGACAGATGTGACAAGAACAGCCACGAACATTAGATACTGCATATCTATAAGGCTACAATGAGCTAACATATTTGACACTCTTTGCCTTGGTCCCTAGATCAAAGCACAAGCTGGCCTTGTTATCGCCAAACTCTGTAACCGCTGAGATTTCATCTTGACAGTCCGGATCGCTGTAAAATTTCACCTGGGCGTCACAAAAGTTCGGGCCGAAGATCTGAGCAGATGTCATGACTTTTGGTGCAGCAACACAGGCTCCCGTAGTGACAGGGCCAGTAATAATGGTGCCACCCACGCACTCAAGGTCGGTATATCCGAAGAATTGGCGTGTATCGCACTGCTCAACATGTTGTCCTGGATGAGCGAGTACGACCGCAGCCAACACCACGAGCTTTAATATCTATATAGTTGTTAAAAACAAATCAAACTCTATCTTACAATGGAAGTAATCTTACTGTAGATTGTATTTTTAGCTGATAAAAGTATGTAGAACGAGATAAGTGGTGATTCTGTGTACTGGGTTTGAAAGTGAAGGTTGAAATTATCGACCAGATCAAGCCTTATATATAGCCAATCTTTTCAACCTGTCTTCTCATGATTACCCGCATTCAAACATCAATGTTCATACAGTGAAGATATGCCGTGCTTACTCTTCTCTTATAAATCTTGCCGTAAGGTAGTATGCAAGCAATTTCCGGCGCAGCACTACATCGTATTTCGTATTGGTGCCGTTTTAACCGCAGACTGTATCATTTAAAGCACACCCTAACTGCCGTATCTCCTCTCTCCACATTTAAAGCAGTCGACCCTTGTCATGTCATACAACCCCATGTAACGACCTTAATGTTACGGCTTTCAGTGGAACTATCTACCGAGTAAGTATTCGTGTGGTAAACGGCAAAACTAATACTGAAACACTGACAGCAGCAGACTCTTCCGAAAGTGTGTGTTGGAAAGGAAGGACGGAAAGTGCGGATAGAGGAGCGAGGGGCTGTAACTACTTGTAGTTCTAAGGTCGAGGTAAATAATACGCTATGAAATAAACATATTAATCCGGCACGGCGTAGTGTTTAATAAAATACTCGTTAATCTCCCCTGTGCCATGCTAGCCCCTAAATTTGCTGACTTTTCTCGCCGCAACCGCTGCCTCTAGGCCAGCTGTCACCTGAGATAGACGCTCCTCGGCACCAGCGGACCTGTGTGGTCCCTCACCAGCCAGACCGGCTGTGGAAGATCGACATCTCGCCGTCGAGAAGCAATTGGACAATCTCCAAATGCCCTAACTTCATTGATATCTGCATGACCCTTCCGCAGTGGAAGTGAATTGGTGTTATCAAGTTGAGACCGTCGTATGGCTGATTATGGTACACGTGGTAGCAAGTTTTGGGATCCGCACCGTTTGCAAGCAGACGCTGGACCAGACCTACGTTGCCAGCCCTGGCTCAGGAACCCGATCTCCATCCTGCGCGAACTCGATTCGCACCAATGGTTGATGTTCATCCTGGGATTCATATCGTGACAAGAGGGGGTATGAAGTCTCCCTGTTGGAGTGGTGGTGCCACTCCGAGAGTACATTGGTGAAAAAAAGGACTTGGGGGAGGAGGCCGATCTGATTCTTCGAAGTCACAGCGGACGCCGTTCACAAGTAGGATATTGACGATTGCTGTGTCCTGCTGATCCACAGCTAGACAAAGGCTTCTGGTCATTGAGACGCGGTTTGTTTTCGGATTCCCACGAGTTCCCGGTTCCTTCGCCTCACTGCCTTTATGAGGGCAGTCCCTGTGTCTGAAGGACTTTTCTCTAGGCAGTATCTTCATTTCCATCCCTAACCCTATCGATAGGATTCCAGTGTGTGAAACCGAAGAATTCCATTTTCTCGTATATAATACCTTTAGATTGTCGTCGCACTGCTGGGGGGTTGATTTTGTCGGGTTCAACTCTGAAGACCGTTGTGGCATTGATAGGTTTAAAGGGAGGCGTATATTTCCGCTCGAGTAGCTCATTCCAATCCACACCGTGGAAGAACTCGTGAGCTTTTACCTCGGAAGATCCGTTTGCCCCCAGGCGTTTTTCGGTTCTTTGTGGAGAACCCTGACTAGAAAGTCCCTGGCAGGTGGCGAAAGTCTGTCAGGGAGCTGTGGTAGGGGTTCACTGGTAATTCTACGTCGTCTCTCATCGGCCTCTTTGTGGTAGAAAGGGGGTAATCAGGTCAATATCTCATAGAGAATAACCCCTAAACTCCACCAATCCACCTTTCGGGAAGTCTCTTGGCCGAGAACGACCTCGGGGGCTGGATACTCAGGTGTGCCGGGTATGATGTGATCCCTATCCTTCAGCTCCAGTCCGAAAAGGTCGGGACTGCATAGACTGACATGGCCATAGGAGTCTAGAAGGATATTCTCCGGCTTCAGAGACGCGAGAATAATACCTTTGTCGTGCAGATATTCCAGCACACAGACTAGCTCAGCAGCATAAAATCTCGCAATGTCAACCTCAAAACGTCGCTCTCTTTGGAGGTGAGAAAAAAGGTGTCCGCCATTAGCCAGTCCTGAAAGAGGCTCAGCCCCTTAGACGACTTGAAAGCAAATTTGAGCGGTGCGATAAAGGGATGTTCAACCCGGGAGTAAAGGATGTATGTCAGGTCTAGTCCAGGAACTTCTTTGTCTATGGGGATGGTCTTCATGGCGTAGCATCGATTCGTGTCTTCCTTTTTGACATGGACAAGATCGCCAGTATTAACTTCTTCCAGTCCTCGAAGGGGAGTATCTCTTTCTCGACATAGGAAACCTCGAGTAGCACTTTTCCAGTCCCATGTTGGACATCGACCGACTTCGCACCCAGAGTGTGGGGTTCCAGAAATGGATTCAACTTGATCGACCCAATGAGTACGACTTGATGTCCCTCCGAAGCATCCGATCTCCTGACGAACAAGTGGACAATAAGCTCAGAGAGGCAGAGAGTCAAACTTGATTGGAGTGTCATTACCCATCCAATGAACGCTTCCATGCCCTCCCCAACATATGGACTCAATGGATATTTGGAACTTTTCATATTCCAAGACAGCATAAGGGAGCCATCGTTTCCGCATATCTGGATCAGCAAACCCTACTGAACTAGACCCTTCGTCCAGATGTGGTAGGCTCAGATTAATAGCTTGGAAGAGTATAACAGAATTCGTGTTCCGTGCGGACTGGACTGCTGCAAGGGAATGATTTCAGAAGGAGCTACAATAATTAGTGGGTACAGGCGCTTTCATAGTCAGAGGGCACATTCAAGCGTACCTTCATCTTCCAATAGACGACGAGTCAGCTTGGGAGCTGCCCACCAGCTCTTACTGCTCGTGCCCTCTCCAGGATCGACAGGGTCCTTGTCTAATGACATCGTTGGTGGTTCTAGTTAAGCTTATTTAATAGGAAGTTACACATGTGGGGCGTGTTCAACGTCAGGTACGTGCGTACAGAGTGGGTCATTTATGGACCAATAGCCAATTAGAGCTTTGGGCATAAATGTATAAGATTGTGCTCACAATATGAGAACTTGGACATAAGCCGGTTTTCAAGATAGTTAAATGGTAAAAGTATGGTCATATAGCTGATGCTGGTTATGGCTATTAGTTTAAATGTAGCCTGATCTTCTAGATCAATTTAAATTAGTATTCTTGATAGTTGCGACACCAAGATGGATTATAATAGTATCAGTAAAACCTAAAAGCGTCATAGAAGAAGGTCAGACACAGTACTCAGCCAGTTACTCTCATAAATCTATAATCTTATGATGGATCATTCATAAGGATCCTCAACTGTACCATCTCCTAACCTATAGGGAAAATAACGAATGCGCTGGGAATAAATGGTGCCTACTTGATCGTTTGCTTTTGGCTGTAAAAAACGGTTTATTCCGTTTTTTTTCTATATACCCCTAGCAATAGAGTCATGTCTTGTGCACGCATCACATACAATATACCTCCTAACGCCCGCTAACCCCACCAACGCTCCATTTAAACACCTCTCACGTCAAAGTAACTCTACGCGAAATGGAGTCCCTCAGCATTGAACCCAGCGAGCAAGCGGAGAAAGTCGTTCTCATCGCACTTCGCAGCGCGGCGATCCGCGAGTTCTGTCTCTTCGAGGACCCGCATGATCTTTGACCGGACGAGAGCCGCAACGCGGGTCTTGGGACGTTTGGACTTGGTTTTTTGTGGCGTAGCGGCAGATTTAGCGGCTAGTTCCTTGAAGAAGGAGGGCGTGTCGTCGTCTTCTCCTGCGTCGTCTGCCCCCCCATCGATGTCGCCGTCACCATCGACATCCATAATCCCATCCCACTCCTCTTGTGCTGGCCCGCTGTCTCCAATATCCATCTCCTCATCCTCACCATCCACGACGCCCTCCTCAAGCGGAACGTCATTCATAGCACACCAAACTCGATAATTCCTCTCCACCAGAGCCAGAACCTCCTTCCCACTCCAACTCGCTCTCATAAGGCGATTCTTCCTCACAAAGCATACCCTGAGCATTCCATCCCACTCCTCCCAGCTGACGCCTGGACGATCGCTGCCAGTCTTCGGTTCGATGCGCACCACAGACGATTCGACTTGTGGCGGGGGCTTGAAGTTGTTTTTCCCGACCTTCATGATGTGCGTTATGCGTGCCCAAAACTGGGCGTTCACGCTGAGGCGACAGTATAGGGCATCGCCGGGGCGGGCGGTCAGGCGGAGCGCGAATTCGCGCTGAAACATGAGAATCGAGGTTCGCGGCGGGTTGGGGAGGGAGAGAAGTTTGAAAACTAGCGGGGAAGAAATCTAGGGTATTTGTTAGCATGAGGGGTTCGACGAGGACGGAAGGGGAGGAAGGAGCAGATGGCGACGAACCTGATATGGTGTATTGGAAATGCAGACGTCGAACGGGGGGAGCTCAGTTTTAATCACATCCCCTAGTAGAACATCTAGGCGTTTCTGCATCGGGGTGCCCTGAACACGCTTCGTCACTTCGGCGGCCATGCGGGGATCGAGTTCCACTGCAATGACTTTGCGCGCCTTCTCAAGGATGCGGACTGTCAAGTTTCCTGTACCCGGGCCGACTTCAAGAACAACATCTGAGGGTTTCAAGTCGGCTTTCTGGACAATCGCTTCCGCTACACCGGGGTTCTTCAGGATATGTTGTCCGACGTTGGTGTTGAATTTGAAGACATTATTCGTTTGCTTTGCCGCTTTTTCGTATGGTGAGCTTGTCGCGGCGCTATTGCGCTTGCCACCCTTGAGTTTGCCCATTTCGCTCTAATGTGAGAGGAGAAAGGACGGAGTTCGGATTGCGGATTGTTTTAGAAACGAGAGTGCTCGCGACACTGCTGGAGAAAGAGGGTGAGGTTTCGTTTTGCGACATAAAAAATCGCGGATTTCTTTGGTGGTGGTTGTGACTTTTTGTTGTTATCTTAGTGTGTGGGGCTTATCGCAACTAGCTAAATAATTAAGGTGTGGTCATGTGATTCAACCTGGTCTTTTCTGGCTTCGCCTTGAAATTCAACGCCACGATATTAGATTTTACATTTCGAAACACAAGAGTCCTAAGAGGCAGTCGCAAAGATGTCCGGACGTCGCGACTTTCTCAACCAACCGGCCCCAGAGAACTACGTCGCTGGTCTCGGTCGTGGTGCCACTGGATTTACTACTCGCTCAGATCTTGGGCCAGCGCGCGAGGGCCCGAGTGAGGATCAGATCAAAGAGGCGCTCGCAAAGCGCGCGGCACAGCTCGGCGCAGCTGCCCCGTCAGCATACGGAGTTACTGAGAAAAAAGAAGAGGAAGACGACGACGAGCGCTTCCAGGATCCCGAGAACGAGGTCGGACTATTCGCTGGAGGGACGTATGATAGAGAGGACGATGAGGCAGACAGGATATACCAAGATGTAGAAGAGAAGATGGATAGGCGGCGGAAGATACGCAGGTTTGTCCCCCACCCCCCCTCCCTCACCCCAACCCTGCATAGCAGATGGTTTATCAAAGATGAACAGAATACCGACCAGGCCTACAGGGAAGCACGCGAGAAAGCCGAGCGCGAAGAATATGAGCGTAACAATCCGAAGATCCAACAGCAGTTTGCGGACCTCAAGCGCGCACTTGGTACCGTTACCGATGAGGACTGGGCGAACCTACCAGAGGTGGGCGATCTGACGGGCAAGAACCGCAGGAGCAAGCAAGCTCTGAGGAACAAGTTCTATGCCGTGCCGGATAGTGTATTAGCAGCCGCTGGGACCACGGGGCAAATGGGAACAACAATTATGGAAGACGGGATGGCATCGACGACAGAGCAAGGGGACGGAACCATGACAAATTTTGCGGATATCGGAGCAGCTAGAGATAAGGTCCTGCAGGTTCGATTGGACCAGGCTTCAGCGAGCAGTGGTGGAGATTCTGTGGCGGGAAGCGCTACAAATATCGATCCTAAGGGTTATCTTACCAGTCTGGCAAAATCACAAATTGGCGAAGGCGATGCGCAAGTGGGCGACATCAAGCGCGCACGAGTGCTGCTGGAATCTGTCATTCGAACGAACCCGAAGCACGCTCCTGGCTGGATTGCGGCGGCGCGTCTGGAAGAACTTGCGGGCAAGATGGTTGCAGCAAGGAATGTCATCGCGCGGGGCTGCGAGCACTGTCCGAAGAGCGAAGATGTGTGGGTGGAAAATATCCGACTCAACGACAACCACAATGCGAAGATTATTGCGGCAAACGCGATCAAGAATAACGATCACTCCATAACCCTTTGGATTGAAGCTATGAACCTTGAGGCAGAACCGAGGGCTAAGAAGAGGGTAATTCGCCACGCCTTAGATCACATCCCACAATCTGTTTTGCTATGGAAAGAGGCCGTCAATCTGGAAGAAGACCCAAACGATGCCAAGCTCTTGTTAGCCAAGGCAACAGAGATCATCCCGCTATCTGTGGAATTATGGCTTGCACTGGCTAGACTCGAAACCGCTGAAAATGCGCAAAAGGTTCTCAACAAGGCTCGCAAAGCTGTCCCAACATCTCATGAAATTTGGATTGCTGCGGCAAGGCTTCAGGAACAACAAGAAGTGGCAAGTGGCGTTCCGAGCAAGATCAATGTCATGAAGCGTGCCGTCCAGGCTCTTGCAAAGGAGTCAGCCATGCTTAAGAGAGAAGACTGGATCACCGAAGCCGAGAAGTGTGAAGACGAAGGTGCAGTTCTGACCTGCGGCAACATCATCAGAGAAATTCTGGGGTGGGGCCTTGATGAGGACGATGACCGCAAGGACATCTGGATGGATGATGCCAAGTCTAGTATTGGGCGAGGGAAATACGAAACGGCAAGAGCTATCTATGCCTACGCACTCCGCGTATTTGTCAACAGCAAGACCCTGTGGCTTGCTGCGGCTGACCTGGAGAAGAATCACGGCACAAGGGAGACATTGTCACAGTTGTTAGAGAAGGCTGTGGAGGCTTGCCCACAGAGCGAGGTTCTGTGGATGATGCTTGCCAAGGAGAAATGGCAGGCTGGGGAGATCCGGGAGGCAAGGATGGTACTCGGCAGAGCCTTCAACCAGAACCCGAACAACGAAGACATCTGGCTTGCTGCTGTCAGGCTCGAAGCCGATAATGGCGAGCCGGACCAGGCGAGGAATCTGCTCAAGGTCGCGAGGCAAGAGGCTCCGACCAACCGTGTTTGGGTGAAGAGCGTTTCTTTCGAGCGCCAGCTTGGCAATGTCGACGCCGCGCTAGACCTTGTCAACGAGGCCCTGCAATTATTCCCTGCCGCTGACAAGCTGTGGATGATGAAGGGACAGATCTACGAAGGCGAAGGCAAACTTCCTCAAGCCCGCGAAGCCTACAGCACAGGAACAAAAGCCTGTCCCCCTTCTGTACCGCTATGGCTGCTCTACTCACGCCTGGAGGAGAAGGCAGGAATGGTCGTCAAGGCCCGCTCTGTACTTGACCGTGCCCGCCTCGCTGTTACCAAGTCGCCAGAGCTGTGGGTGGAATCAATACGCGTCGAAAGACGAGCAAATAATATTAGCCAAGCAAAGGTTCTCATGGCGAAGGCTCTGCAAGAAGTCC